GTGCTTTTGTTCATTTTGATTGAGAGGAGGGAGAGGGTGGAGAAGAGCTGAACGTGCTGTGCAGTGTGAGGGAGACCGGGCTGCTAAAGCAGAACAACCTTTGCAGTTTGATCCGCATGCAGGACCAGCTGCTGTGTGCCATGTTTGCGAGTGAGAGGTGAGGAGGGGAGGAGAAGAGGAGGACAAAATATGAGAGAGGAGGAGGAAAAGAGAGAAGGCATGAGAGGAGGAGGAGGAGGAGGAGGAGGAGGAGGAGGAGAAGTGGTGGAATGTGTGTGGAAGAGAGTCGAAGAGGAGAGGAGGAGCAAGGGATGATTATGCTACAGGTCTACTAGCGAACTTGATGCTGAAACTTGCAAGACGATGAGAACGGTCGCATGCAATTTCAGCTTGCACGGTGATGATGATGATGATGATGATTATGATGATGATGACGTTGATGGTGGTGGTGGTGGTCATGGTGGTGTAGATGATGATGATGATGGTAATGATGTTGGTATGAGGAGGAGGGGGAGAAGGGAGGTGTGTGTGGGGGTTGCGGGTGGGGAGTAGGAGTAGGAAAAGATGAGGACATTGATGTAGAGGCAGGTAAGGAGACGGAGCAGGCGCTGTGGTTGTACACTTTTTCTACCCTCCTCGACCACCTTCCCAGCTCAAGCACGAACTACTCTTGGGAGGAGAGCACGCGTCCTCCTGCTACATCCTCCTCCTCCTCTCCCTCCTCCGACGCTCTTGTGCGGGCGAGTCTGAACAGAATCGTCGATCTCTTCGTGGAAGCTTGTCCGCCTCCCGTCCAGGTCAGACTCTTTCCCTTCCTCTGCATCATCGAATCGCGCCCCCTCTCGCCTCCCTCCCGCTCTCCTCCTCTCTTCCCTTCTTCCTTCGTTCCTCCTCCTCCTCTCTCCTCCTCCTCTCTTCCCTCCCTCCCTCCCATCTGTCCTCCCTCCCTCCTCTCCCCCTCCTCTCTCCTCCCCCTCTTTTCCTGTCTTTCTTCTCTTCCTCATCTCTTTCTTGATCGTTTTGATTTTCTGCTGATCGCAACGTTCAGGCGCAAGTCATCGCAGAGCTCGCTCCTCGCCTGCTCCTTTCCATGTGCTCCAAATTTTCCTCCTCCTCCTCGCCTGCCGCATGGAAGGGTGCGGCACAGGCCTTCATGAGCGTATGCAGGTGAGATGATAGAGCGGGAGAAGGAGCAGCAGCAGGGAGCAGCAGCAGCAGCAGGGAGCAGCAGCAGCAGCAGGGAGCAGCAGCAGCAGCAGGGAGCAGCAGCAGCAGCAGCAGCAGCAGCAGCAGGGAGCAGCAGCAGCAGCAGCAGCAGCAGCAGCAGCAGCAGCAGCAGCAGCAGCAGCAGCAGCAGCAGCAGCAGCAGCAGCAGCAGCAGCAGCAGCAGCAGGACCTGACATCAGTCTGGCAGTCATGGCTTATCTTCACTTAACCTCTCCGAGTCGATCGCCAAGGAAGAGAAGATTGCTCTCTGGCTGAGAACATGCGCGGGCATCAAATCCTTCCTGCTTCCTTGTGATATAAGCTGCTCCTCCTCCTTCACCCTGCTCCTCCTCCTGCTCTCTTCTCTACTCACTCCTCCTTCTTGATCTCCTCCTCCTCCTCCTCCTCCTCCTCCTCCTCCTCCTCCCTATCCTCCACATGCTCCCTCTCCCACGTTCTCATCCCTTCCTTCCGCCCTCTGACGGTCTTGTCTCAGCTGAGCGAGAGCTGCAAGCTCCCGCCATGGAGTCGCTGGAGCAGGCGCAGGAGAACGAAGTGCTTGATATCCATCTCGCACAGGTGAGAGCAGAGCTGAGGAGGAGAGGGGAAAGGGATGAAGAGGTCGGGGATGAGGAAGGGAAAGGGAGGGCGGGGGATCCAGGGACGGGGAGGTGGGAGGAGGTGGAAGGAGAGGAGAAGACGTTTGAGCACTTTTATTTCAGTTCATCGTCGAGGAAATGCTGGTGATCGCCCTGCTGCCGAGGTGAGGCCGAGAGAGAGAGGAAGGGAGGAGGGGAAGAGAGAGTCAGAGGATGAGGGGGGGAGGAGAGGACCGAGAGGAGGGGTGAAGGAAGGAAGTTGAAGGGAAGAGAGGAGAGAGAAAGAGATGTGTGGAAAGGGAGTGAGAGTGAGGCGGGAGGAAGGAGGAGAGGAGAGGAGAGGAGAAGAAACGAGGCGGAGGGGGGGAAGAGGAAGGGAAGAGAGGGAGGGCTGACAGTCATGCAGGTGGAGGAGCAGCTGCTTTCGATCCTCAGCGAGATTGTCTCTACCCTCCTCTCCATCCCCATGAGCCCCATGGGACCATCTACTCGTTCCTTCAGGTGCCTCCTCGTCCTCTTCCTCCTCGCTCCCTGCTCCCTGCTCGCTTGCTGCTCCTCTCTCCTCCAATCATCTTCCTTCTACACCATCACCTCCTCTCCTCCTTCTCCTCTCTCCTCTCTTATCCTCTACTCCTCCTTCACTCACCACCTGCAGGTTCTACCTGGCCGAGCACTGCCTGGGTTTTCTCTTCGATCTCTCCTCCTCCTCTTCTACCGAGGAAATTTCCCGCCAGTGGGAAGAAGGAGAGGGGGTGGAGGAGGTTCGGATACCCGAGGAGAGGAGGCTCAGCATCGCCAAGCTCGCTGCTCCCATGCTCGTCTCCGCCTGCCGCCACATCTTGGAGGAGTAAGTCCTCCCTCTTCAACCTTCTCTCCTCCTGCTGCTGCCCCTCCTCCTCCTCCTCCTCCTCCTCCTCCTCCTCTGCTCCGCCTCCGCCTCTTCCTCTTCTGCTCCTGCTCCTCTTCCCCCTTCCCTTTCCCCTTCCCTTACTACTATTTCTCTGTTGCCTTCCTTCTTTCTTCCTCCTTCTCTTGTCACGCTCCATCAGGTACGTCAAGGATGAGTCCGAGGCTTCTTCTTGTCCCCTCCCCCGCGCAAGGACCGAGCAAGTCGTGGGCGCCGCTCGTCGTCTGCAGGTGATCTCCTCCTCCTCCTCCTCCTCCTCCTCCTCCTCCTGCTGCTGCTTCTCCTTGCTCATCTTTTCGCAGGGGCTCGAGCTTGACCCGGAAGTCAGTCAACATCTCTATCATCAAATGTCTCCTCCTCCTCCTCCTCCTCCTTCCTGTCGCTCATCTCCTGCAGGTACATAAGGAATCAGCTTACTGGCTCCGACAACACTACCGACAGCATGTCAGTCCCCCTCTCCTCCTCCTCTTTGCTCTCTCCTCCCACTTCCCTTCCCTCCCTTCCCTGTTCTCTTCTCCTCTCTCCTGCCTCCTCTCCGGCCTCCTCTCTCTCTCCCTACCTCTCTCTCTCCCTCTCCCTCCCTCCTTCCACCACCCTCGCTCCTCCCCTCCCCTCCTTCCCTCTTGTATCGCATGCTCACGTCAGCCTGCAGCACGGAGGTGCAGGTTGGAAGGTCGAGGAGACGAGCGCATCTTCTGCTCCTCTTCGAGCCCATGTGCAAGTGCATTTCATCCAACAATGTGAGCGAGAGGAGGAAGGAGGAGGAGGAGGAGGAGGAGGAGGAGGAGGAGGAGGGAGGAGGAGCTAATATGTGCTACAGCCGATGCTGAGAGACAGCTTGCGGTCCATGCTGGAAATGGTGGGAAGGGAAGTTGGAATTGGGGAGTGCGCAGCAATGTTGGTAGGAGGAGCAGGAGCAGGAGCAGGACATGCGCAGTAAGGGGAAGAAATTCTTGAAATGTAGATGAAAGTGAAGGAAAACCTTTATCACCGTCATGTTCGAACAAGAAGTTTCAGACGCTGATGGAGCGACAAGGGAGATGGGGGGAGGAGCGAGAGGAGCGAGAGGGGAGGAGAAGTTTGGAAGAAGATGAGATGGAAGGGGGGAGGAGGAGGAGGAGGAGGAAGGGAAGGAAGGAAGAGGACGAGGACGAGGAGGGGGAGGAAAGAAGGGAGAGGAGGAGGAGGATGCATCAGGGCAAGCGTGATATCTCCTCCTCCAGCTGGTCGGTGAGGACATGGAGCTCGCGGCGGATGTCGGAGGAGAGCGACTCGCGCGCCCACCTCCTGCACTCGCCCAGCACGAAATTTCTCAGCTCCTTGAAGTGAGCGCGAACTAGGTCCTCGAACCCCATCTGAAGGCGAGTGAGGAGACGAGGAAGAGAAGCGAGGAGGGCAGGAGGGAGGGAGAGGGGAAGAGGAAGGGAGGACGAGGTGAGGGAGGGAGGGATGGGCAGTGGAAGAAGCAGGAGGGCAGGGAGGAAGGGGAGGAGGGGACTGGAGGTCACCGGAGGGTTTCGAAGGTGCTCGAGCATGGCATAGCGAACTGTGTTGAGACGGATAGTGTCGTTGTACTCCCTGCTCCTCCTCCTCCCCTCCGGCGAGGACTTCTGCAGCTCGTACCCTGATTCACCTGTCAACCCTCCACCTCCCTCCTCTCCCTCTGTGGTTACAAGACCCTTATCGCTCTCCTCCCTCCTCCCTTTCCTGCCCCCTACATCTCGTTTGGTCTAGTTGACAGCAGATAAGAGGGGAGAAGGAGGAGAGAAGGGGGAGATGATGAAGAGGAGGGAGGGAGGGAGGGAGGGAGGGAGGGAGGGAGGGAGGGAGGGAGGGAGGGAGGGAGGAGCACCGGGTTCATTGAAGTAAGGTTGATCAACGAGGATGAGGCTCTGGATGGACACAAGAACCTGCGCGGTCTGAGCGCTGCGGGATGAAGCAGAGAAGGAGGCGGAGCAAGGGCAGCCGTTGTTAGGAGGAGGAGGAGGAGGAGGAGGAGGAGGAGGAGGAGGAGGAGGAGGAGGAGGAGGAGGAGGAGGAGGAGGAGGAGGGAGGAGGGAGGGAGGAGGAGGACGAGGATGAGGAGAAGCACTACCACCACCATGGTGGAGGATACCTGAAGGAAGGTGCTTGAGGAAGGGTTCCAGGCTTCTCCGTGCCAGGTGCCCAGGAGGGAGAGGCAGACCTTGCCGTCGGAGTAGAGGTTGGGGTTGAAGCGGACGAGGCCGTTGCCGGTAGTGCGGAGGAGGAGGAGAGGAGGAACGTCAGGGTAAAGGTCGGGGAAGAAAACATCGAAGAGGAAGAGACCAAGGGCGTACGGGGAGCCTGTGGGGCCGGAGATGGCGACCTGAGCGACGTCCATGCGCGTCTCGTCGACAAGGAGGAAGATGGCGGCGGCGGGGGAGGAAGGAAGACTTCCTGCTTGTGCGAGAGCATGCAGCTCCTGGACCAGCCGCTTCACCTTCCTCCTCGATGCCCCGAGCTTGCTCCCGGCTATCTCGTGCCGGAAGCTGTGCCCCACGTACCGCTCCTCCTCCCCCGCCATGTTCGCGTTCCTGAAGCTCAGGTGCTTCATCGTCTCAGAGTACAAGAGCCTGTCTGCCTCCTCCGGCTCCCACGCCTTCTCCTCGGCCACCTCTTCTTGTCCTTCAGGCTCGGAGGAGGCGGAGGAGGCGGCGGGCAGGGAGTGAAGGTCGGAGGGCAGGAGGGAGAGGAGGGAGCTGATATCCTCCTCACTCAGAGAGGAGCTGGAGCGCAGCAGGCGGAGGAAGTGGTCGTAGCCTCCTGCCTCCTCCCTCGCCCTCGCTCGCAGGGCAGCCCGCAAAGTGTCTGCTCCCCTGAGCTGGAGCAGGAGCAGAGCAAAGCTCTCCATGAGCTGGGAGGGGAGCAGTCCGTAGGAGGAGGCATCCTCCACCAAGAGCCTCTCCCTCCCCTCCCCGCAGACCTGAGAGGCACAGGAGCAGAAGAATCCTGCAAGCTTGCTCCCCATCTTCTGCGAGCGGCCGAAAGTCTCCTGCACGTCGTGGAAGAGGAGGAGGCGCCGAACAAGCTCCATGCTCCTCCTCGTCAGGTTCAGAAAGTGGCGGGCGATCCCCTGCAGCTGCCCAAGGAGGACAAGCCGGTCCCTCCTTTCCTGCTCCTGCAGCTTCAGCCAGCGATCGTCCTTCTGCTCTCGCTGGATGGAGGCGATGTCCGCAAGGCGACTGAGAGCGTCGCTGACAACGAAGACGCAGTCGCTCAGCACGTCATCCAGCAGAGTCTCCACCAGCTCCTCCTCCTCCCACTCGTCAAGAAGGAATGCTCCTCCTCCTCCTCCTCCTCCTCCTGCTGACGGCTGCCTCACAGGAGAAAACAGCTGTGCGCCACATCCTGCTCCTGCTGCTCCTCCTCCTTCTGCCTCATCACGGGAGAAGAGGAGGAGGAGGCATCCGAGCTTGTACCTTGCAACGTTCTTGTCGAATACATGAGCTTCTGATGACAGAATTCCTTGCACATCACAGTAGACCTCTGCCAGCGACCTCCACATCCTCCTCCTCCTCCCTCCCACGTTCCCCTGCGGCCCTGCAAGGAAATTTGGTTATTTTTCCTCCTCCTCGCCATCGTTCTGCTGCTGCTGCTCCTCCTCCTCCTCCTCCTCCTCTTCCTCCTTCTAGCTGTCCTCCTCCTCCTCCTCCTTCACCCCCTCGTTGTGCTCCTCCACCCCCTCGTTGCTGCTGCTGCTGCTGCTGCTCCTCCTCCTCCTCCTCCTCGTTGTGCTCCTTCTGCTCCTCCTCTCAGCTCACCTGAGATGGGATAGAGTCGACTGTCCCAGGCTGGTCGCCGCTGGCTATCGTCTCTCTCGTACAAGTTGAACAGAAATTCCCCCAGGCGATAACGGAGGAAATTGCTGGTGACAAACGAGATTTGAATATCAGTATCTCGACATCTCAAGAATTGAAATCTCTCCCCAAGATTACGACATTTCAAATCAAGAAAGTCTCAAAGCTTTCACACTCCATCCCGTCAATATCCCACATTTCAATCGTCTCATCTCAATTTCCGCATCCCGGTGCTCCGCATTTCAACTCACTCATCTACATTTCAAATCTTGTGAAACTCCGTTTCTCACCTCACCAAACCTCCAGCTCGCGACAGCAAGTACGGGAAAGAGTCAACGATCCAGGGGCAGGCAACTGACTCGCACAAGAAGGAGTGCTGAGATATAGTTTCATGAGCGACGTGTCATGAGAAAGAAAAAAGTCAAATGTCATGAGAAAGAAACAAGTCAAAGTCACCTCGTCCATCCAGATCATATTGAGGAATTGCAGACAATCTCTCAAGATGCAAGATGGAACAAAACACAGCTTCTCCCTCGTTTCTAGAGCCCTTTCCTGCACTCCTCCTCCTCCTCCTCCTCCTCCTCCTCCTCCGTCACTCTCGAAGCGGGAGGAGAAGGATGCTATCCAAGACAAGCAGAATCCAACGAGTCTGAGCACCAGCTCCTGCGTCCCTCCCTGCTCAACCGCTGAGCCTCGAGGAGCGACCAACAAGCACCGAGAGGGGAAGAAGAGGAGCGAAAGCAGTGCTTGTAGCTCATTCCTTCCCTCCGTCTGCTTCCTCAGGCGGAAAGCTGGGAGGAGGCACTTGTGAAAGCTGAGGAGGAAGAGCGGCCAGATGGCTGAGATAAAAGAAGTCTGTCTCTCCTCCTCCTCCTCCTCCTCCTCTTGCACCACCTGCTCTTCCTGATCAGAAACCAACGAATTTCTCCCCTGCTCTCTTCGAGTGTTTCCCTTCTTCCCCCTCTTTCTCTCTTCTCCAATGCATTCTTCCCCCTCTCCTCTCCCTTCCCTCCCGTCTCCTCCTCCTCCTCCTCCTTCTCATAAATTCTGCTCACCTCAGCTGACTCGCAGATGGCTTCTGCTATCTCCTCCGCCTCCTCCCCGCTCATCAAGAACTTGTCCTGCTGCCCCTTGACCTCCTTGCTGCTCACTTGCTTCTTCTTCCCAAGCGGATCCTCTTGGCCCTCGTCTATGATGAAGCTGTGGCCTTCCATCAGAAGGAGGAGGGGGAAGAGGGGGAGGAGAGGAAGGAGGAGGAGGAGGAGAAGCAGGAGGAGCAGGAGGAGCAGGAGCAGGAGCAGCCAGACCACATAAGAGTTGTCGAGAGCAGAAGGATGATGTACGAGACAACTGGATGGAAAGAGGAGGCGAGGAGGATTGAAGGTGACAGGGCGTATCAAGGAGGAAGGGAACATCTTGACCTGCTGGGATCGAGTCGGGACCAGTTGCGATGAAGAGCAGAGTGAGGAGCAGCGAAGGGCTCGCAGAGGAGGGCGAGGAGGAAGGAGAGAAGAAGAGCAGCGGCTTCGGGAGATGCGTGTGAGGATTTCGAGTCCTCCAACATCTTTTCCTCGTCGAACTGACAACACTGGAAGAGTTTTGCTGGAGGAGAAAGTCGTAAGTTGAGCAGGAGGAAGACAAGACAAGACAAGACAAGACAAGACAAGACAAGACAAGACAAAAGCAAAGGAGAGAAGAGAGAAGAAGAGAAGGAGAAAAGGAGAGAGGAGAAGACAGGACAAGAGCGAAGGGAGGGGGAAAGAGGAGGAAGAGGAAGGAGGAGGAGTACAGGAGAAGCGAGGATTAAGGAGGAGAGGACAATGAGTTACCCACCTGCCATCTGAAAGAAACTTGATCGCAGATCAGCATCGCGCAGATTCAGCGCAGATTTCAGTCCGAAGAGAGAGAGGAGGAGGAAGCGACGGGACTTGTCGTTGTCTTCCCTCCCTTCTCTCGCCCTGCCGTCTTACGTCACAAGCGCCGACGCTGTCAGGCAGGTACAAGCTCGTCCATCCTCCTAGCATGCAGCAGATCGCACTTGTAGAGAATTCTGATCATCAACTCAGTCAATGATTCTCCTGCGTATCCCCTCTGCATCTTCCCTTCCTCTCTCCGTCCCTCCCTCTCTCCTCCTCTCCTCCCGCTTCTCGCTCCTCTCCTTCGACATGTTGCTAATTACCTTGACGGGGCTGTGGGCTCGCTAACAGATTGGTCGATTCTGAGAAAATCTGCAAACATGTAAAGGAAGAGAGAAGGAGGGATGGAGGAGAAGCAGAAGAAGGCTAGCGAGGACAAGGAAACAGGACGAAGAGGAGGAGGAGGAGGAGGAGGAGGAGGAGGAGGAGGAGGAGGAGGAGGAGGAGGAGGAGGAGGAGGAGGAGGAGAAGCAGAAGAAGTCTAGCGAGGACAAGGAAACAGGACGAAGAGGAGGAGGAGGAGGAGGAGGAGGAGGAGGACGAGGAGGAGGAGGAAGAGGAGGAGGAGGAGGAGGACGAGGAGGAAGAGTTACCTTGATCCATGCTGGTCTCAAGAGTGCTTCCCGCATGCTCCTGCCAATCGCATCGACCCTCCTGTTTCTGCCCTGCTGCTGCTCCTCCTCCTCCCAGACCCCCCGGGCGACGGCGAGGAGGGCAGGGAGCATCCTTTCCTCCACGTTGATAGAGATCAGAGAGCAAGGGAGATGTTGGGAGAAGAAGCAACTCGACAGTGACTGAGGATGTGATAGGCTCTGAAAGACATCCTTGGAAAAGTTTTCATGCTGAAACAGGAACGCTGTTTCTCGGCCCAGATCTGCGCAAGTGCAATGAGCAGAACATCTTCGTCAGAGTCCCCACAGACCGGAAGATAGGTTATCTGTGGACGATACTGGAGGAACGACATCGGGAGGGAGAGGGAGAGTTCCCTGTTTGAACAGAGTACCAACATTCACCATGACACTCAGTCTTGCTACTGCTGCGCATGCTGGAGACATGCAGTCCAGCTTCTGCCAGACCCTGAAACACACAAGAAGAGCTATCTCACTCCTCCTCCCTCCTGCGATCTTGACGATCTGATCAGGTTGTGATGGTATCGATTTGTACTTGACCCCCCAGAAATCTTCTGTCATCGCTTCACACATCTTTGCGTTCAGGGATGACAAAAGGTCGTCGAATGAAACAGCATCTTGCAATCACTTTCAAAAGAGTAGAAAACGTGGCAGAGAGCAGCTCACCGGAAACACGGAACCCTGTCTTGTCCAAAATTTCAAGCTTCAACGCTTCCAGCTCATCGACTTCACAATTAGTTTCTACAGTATCCTCGTTCAACTCGTCATCTGCCAAGACCACATTCCAATCATTCTGATCATCTTTTCCTGCCTCTATCACTTGCTCCGTCTCATGGCGCAAGAGAGGCTCTTCGCTCTTTTCCCTCTCAATCTTTTGTTCGGATTGCAACATGTCATCCTTCGGATTCAGAATCGAATTGTGTGCATACTTTCGGAGTAAATCATTCTCGATGTCTGAAAATCTGGAGAACAACAAGAACAACAAAACATTCGTCATTCAACAAACAAAACGAAGAAGCTGAGACCGTTGCAAGTATTCTTCGCCGATCATCAAGATCTCCTCTTCTCTCCATGGTGCATTGACATCGATTATCGCAGCACTCTGACCTGTGAAGCTGTCAAACTGGTGGAGACAGGTCAGGAGTGGCTAACAGATCCAAGTCATGCAGTCATAGAAAGTGCTCGACACCGAAGAAACCTTGCTCGAGCTCTCTGCATGATGCAGGAGGGATCTGATCGCTGCTCTTGCAGAAAACCCATCCTTGATCAACCTCTGAAAGACACTTTCCGAACTTGATAGAAACTCCCGAGCTGACTTGAACCTATCTTGACCTACCAAAGTTCCTCCTTTGAGCACCGGGGATCTCCCTTGTTCCTTGCCAAGACTGGGAAACTCTTCTTCCTCAGAATAGTTTTCGCCACTTTCTTGTAACAAACTGCTACTCTCTTTCCGCCCTCTGTCGTTCTCCAGTTCGATACCCTCCGACGGCACTTCAGACTCCTCACATTCTATCCCCTCAAACTGCCTTCCATGGCTTTCTTTGCGATGGCTCACAGTAGAAGGTCTGCAAGAAACAACAATGTCACAATCAAAGTTGAAGTTCAGAAGCAGCTCACTTTGAAAGAGATGAAATCACGACTTCTGCACGGTCGTCTGCTTTTTGCCGCACCATTTTCTTTCGCTGTTCATCGTCCCTGTTCGTGTGCTTCTTGCCGCAGCTCTTGAGGAAGAGGAAGAAGAGCAAGGGAGCAAGAATCAGCAACAGCAACATCGATTCATCGTCCGACGCCTCCATCTCTTCTGGGTAAAGTGTGGGAGCGCTTGTTCTTTCAGCACAACATGCTTCTCTCTGCAAGAGATCCTAACATGAGCTCTTGACGATAGTCAGTAAGAAGCAACCGAGGAATGAGGGTTGTGATGACTTGATCGATCTTGATTGATACCTTGTCTGAATTGACGATCAGGAGCTGGGGGTGGGGTTGGGGCAAGGGAGGCAAGGGGGGCAGAAAGAGCAGGAGGGACAAGATCAGGAGCAGGAGGAGCAGGAGGAGCAGGGGGAGCAAGGAGATACTGAGAGCATGGCAGGTGAAAGGCGGACGGACATGGCAGGTCGGGGGGGAGCTGGTCGGGCGAATTCCCGCATCATCAAGTCCCCCACGGGGCCGGCCCGGCCCGGGGAACAGTCTGAGTCTGCCACCGACTGTGAGTGGTGACGATCCGGCGGATGAACCCGCCGTGGACGGTGACCCCGGGCCCGGTACTGGCAGGCTGACTGCATTGGGGCCGCGCGGGCTCAGTCAGGGTTCGGGAGCGCCACGGGTTAGGCAGTAGCTAAAATCTGGGCTAATCCGGGAGTCCGATGATCAGTCAATAAACAGACCCTTTTATTGCAATACTCAGTGTGCTCGTTGAACAGATGAACGTCACAGAGTCTATCCACCACGGGTAATCTGCTTCTCATGATAAAATAACGGCGTAACGAGATATTTGCAATCCGTCTCGCAGCTTCCCTCACGACCGATGAGAACACTGCGGCAGCATCTGAGATGTGGAAGACGCAACTCCCACATAACACGTTGGTAGTGGGCGAAGTTTAAATCATCTTTAGTCACTCAAAGTTAAGTTAAAAAATAGTACGAGGACAATTAGCCGACTCAGCCTGTCGAGGAGGCTTGACCTTTACACTTTTACTCAAAGTTAAGTCAAAAAAACAGTACGAGGACAATCATGACATGGCCACTGATACGGCGAGAAGAGAAGAGACAGCTTGAGTACAGCCGCTTCTTAGTTCCGAGCCCGTGCCAGGCTATTCATCGGGGAAGATCATTCCCTTGAGACCGAACCATGCTCGTATCTTATCCCTCAGCTTCAGCGCCTCCTCCGCCCAGTAGATCGCCTTGGCCTCCGCCTTGACAGCCCTCTCTGCTGCCTCCTTGGCGTAAACCTGCTTCGAGCGAGCGTTCTGCACGACTCTGGCGGCTTCTTGGAACTTCTTGTCTGCATGCATCTCGGCCTCTAGCGCGGGGAGTTCAATCTGTGAGTAGTCGGAGGCGTGGTAGGGGCGGGAGGAGATGTACTGCCCGTGAGTGTACAGCTGAACTTCCTTCGAGTTGGCCCGGAGCTGCTGGTATGCGTTGTACGTCACTACGTGCCCGTTGAGTTTGTCTCTCGACCACTGCCCCATGTGCTGCGTGCCGTCGGAAGCTCTTTGTATGCCCCACCCTTCCCTCATCCCGTCCACGTAGCAGCCCTTGTGATACCCTCCGTCAGCTGTTCGGTAGCAGCCGTTGCCCTCGATCTTTCCGTTCACCACCTCCCCTTGGTAGTAGTCTCCTGCTATCTCCCCGGAGTCCTGTCCCCACGTGTATCTCCCCAGTCCGTTCTTGAGATCGTGGGTCCAGTCTCCGACGAAGCTCTCGCCATCCTTGTACCTGAGGACGCCCAGCCCATGAAACTTGCCCTTGAGCCACTGACCGATGTACTCGCCTCCTTGCGGCCTGTTCCCGTTGGGGTTGAACTGATACACTCCCTGCCCTGTGCGCTGCCCAGCAATGTAGCTTCCTCTGTAGACGTCTCCTGCAAACTCTCCTGTGTCGCCATAGCGGTAGACGCCCGACCCCTGGAACTTACCTCCCTCCGTGAACTCTCCCATGTAGATATCCCCGTTGAACCAGCACAGCACGCCGCTGGTGTGCGGTTGATCCCCCCGCCACAGGCCCAGGTACTCCTCGCCTCCTCCATCTGGAAATGCAGGTTGTCAGGGAACCAGTTCTAGAGGAAGCGCATGGAGAGTACATGGAGGGTCTGGCCACTTCGCGACACCTCTTCCATCCTTCCTCCCTTCATCGTCTCGCTCCCCGTGATACTTGAGGCGAGTCGCCGCCTTGAGCTTGTACAGGGTTGACTCAGACAGCAGCATACGAATCACTCCTGCCTTGCGCATCTGACGAATCCAATCGGATATTTCAACCCTGCGTGATCTGCACAAGTCAAGTCACTGCCTGGTGAGTTTTGCTCGGATATTGCATCAGTTCTTGCAAAGTTCGACTTCGAACGCACCTTTCCCAACGCTTCGGAGGAGGAGGAGCCGGCGTTAGCAGCCAGCGCCAAAACCCGATGTCGTTCTGCTGAGGGGACTTCTCTCTCCATGACTTCTCGAGCTGGTAGAGGTCAAGCTTGTCTGACTTCTCCTTCTCCAAATCGACGTTCTCCTCACTCGCCGAACTCTTGATCGTGTTCTTTGACTTGTCCGTGTTGATAGTCTGTCTGGACTCGACCGAGACGTTGAGGACATCAAGGCTGTCGGAGGCCTCAGGAGCGACTCTCCTGCTCTTCTTCATCCTATCTGCACGGCATGAGCTTGCTAAGCTCCGAACACCCCAGTCTCCCTCCTCCTCCTCCTCGTCCCTCTACTACAAGCGAATTTGACAAGGCGGCTAACCGACTTCGAATTTTTACTCACTTGAACAGCTTCTTAGGCGACTCAGAGGACAGCAACTGAAACACTTGCAACAATAAAGCGAGTCACTGTCAAGTGTAGCCCTTCAAGCGGGTTTATTCAAGTGCTGGCCCTGGTATGGTACAGCACTCGTATCATGCCCGGCCTTTGTACACTCAATATATATGATATCGCAGTGAGAAGAAGAAACGAGGAAGATCTTTTACTATAGCACTGCTAAGGTGAAGGACTGGGAACTGAATGAAAGAGCAATAAAGTCCCAGTCAAGTTCTCTTGGCCTTCGACAGCCTCAGGTTATCGCTCAGAACTGAGATAAGCTCTGCATCAACTCTCTTCGACGCTCTAGAAATTCATCTTTCCTGTACAGTCCAGGCTCACAATACAAAACGAACTTTGGATCTCACTAACTCACATTCGGTTGTTCTGCGCATACACCACCAGCCCGCTTTGCAGCATCCTCCTCCACAACCTTTCGACTCTTGTCAAGATAGTTCGCTCTGCAAGCTCTCGCTCGATCTCACCCGATCCTGTGAGATATTGGCGCCTCTCCCTGACTCTCATCTGAAGTATCGTCAAGTGGAGCAGGAACAGCCGGGAGAAGCAACAGGGGAGGGGAGGGAGGGGAGTGAGTAAGTGAGAGAGAGAGAGAGGGAGGGAGGGAGGGAGGGAGGGAGGGAGGGAGGGAGGGTGGGAGGGAGGGAGGGAGGGAGGGAGGGAGCGAGGGAGGGGGAATGGGAGGAGATTGCCTTGCTCGTCCAAGTCGACGCGAAGTAGCAGTGAGATGTCGTGAACCGAGTCGTGGGGGAGGATCCCCCACGAGCCTCTGTGACAAGAGCTCAAGGGAGGCTAGACAACATCGACCCAACCTCGAGATCTCTCCCAGCAGCTGCATCCTGCGGCCAACCATCGTCATCCCTCGACACAAGGCCAGCAGCCCTCACCTCGTCCACGTGGCATGTCCAAGAAAGATGTAGACGGGCACACAGATCTTGCCTTCCTTGTCTGATTTCTGAATCCCACACTCTGAGAGCATGAGGGCAACTACAAGGGAAGGGACCGGAGAAATACGTCAGAGCGTGCAATAGCGACATGTCAAGATCTTTCTACCTTCCTTTGCATCGCCGAATATTCCAAAGGATTGTTCACCTGCAGAGCAACTTCAGGGTCCAGGGCTGGCAAGAATTTCTCTTTACCCTGGCATATAACAGATACGCTGCTATTCTCTTGCATACCATCCACTGAGCTCACAAACTTTGGAACGAAGAGATGTCATCGCAAGGCTCTGGCACGTTTGGCTCCTCACTCACCCCGACTGCTAGAGCGTGATCAGGCATGACAGGTCCACCCCGGAAGTAGTATGGCTGGCAGAAGACGTCAGCATGCTTGTCTTAGGGAGTTGGGGCAAGTTGCCTCAAGTTTCGACTCAGTGCTGCCCAGCGATGAGATAAACTCGTTCAGCTCTGATTGGATCTCCTGATCAACGAGGAGTGAGCGACATCGCGGACAAGGACAAGCGAAAGAATAAGAAGAAATCTCAGACGAGACAAACAGCAACCAAGGCCCTGCAAGCTGATATCTCACCCGTACGTTGTCCGTTGCGTCCATGATAGCCGTCACATTGACACCCTTCACAGCATCTCCCGGCAGCAGCTGCCCCTACTTATCCATCACATCTTTCTTCTTTTCAGTCTTCATTCACCTCAGTCTCCTGCACGACTCTTGTTATGAGGTAAACTGCTCGATTCCAATGGGACCATCTCCGATGGAACAACACCTTGAATCAAGTCATTCCCCACCCACCGCCGCCCTTGTCACCTCCAGCAACGTCGGCGATTCCGAGTTGCGAAGCAAGTTTTCGTTTTCCGTTGAGATGAGGGCGAGGCCACTAGAGATATCTAGATCAACAAAGTCACCGATGCCTTGAACGTCATGTCATGAAACGCACATCGAGGCGGAACTCCACTGATCTCGGCTATGATGTCCATCCTTGACGCAGGGGGGCAGTTGAAGGGTTGACGACAGACGCTGCAGATCTTATGTCTGGGTGAGAGAGGATCAGCAAAGGAGCGCGCTGAAGGTAGTCAACTTACCTTTCATCCTGTGATTGGAAGAGCGGATGGTTGGGTGAGCTGATCTGGACGGAGAATTGCCAAGTTTTCAGGCATTTGCTGTGAATGTACTTCTGACTTCCAGTGCAGTTGCAAGGAGAGATCAACGGGTTGTCTTCATCGTCTTCATGGTCAAAGCAGATTCGACAGTACCGCTCACTCTCTATCGCCTCAGATGTCTCTCCGACATCCATTTGCTGATGCTCATGTGCTGCATCGTCGCTCGCAGCATCCTCAGGGTTCAGATCAGGTTCTGATTGTGAGGATCGCTCTGAAGCATCTTCCAAAGCCTCGACATCTGCAGGAACATCTTCGTTGCTGGACATCAACGTAGGCCTGAATTCTCAATTAGACCACAAGAATGGATGACATGTCATATCAGGGATCGACAGAAGACATGTTGTTTGAACACCCTCTCCGTCATCACTTCTGATAGTCTATCTACCTGATCTATATCGTGCTTTCATCCCTGTACTCTCCATATAGACACGAAAAACTCCCAACACCTTCCTGAGTCTCCGTCCAACAAACTCTTAACCCTACATGAATTGCAGCAGAACCAGGCTGATCTAGCTGCACCAATCATTGCAGCATCATCTCTCGTTACAACTCACCTTGTCTCTCCCTCCCTGCCCCGTCCCTCGCTCCCACCCTCCTCCCCTCGTCCTCTCTGACTAACACCATATTGATCTACGGCTCTAGTTGCGCTACCCTATGTACCCTCCTCCCCCCTCCTCCCCACTCAACTCTGAGGCTGGCCCGGACATATATTTTTGTTAATACTCTGCCGCAGCACGTGCCGCATGCAGAAATGGCGGGGATGGAGGAGGGAGGGGGAGAAAGGGGGGGAGAGGGAGGCGAGGAGGAAGGGGAGGGGCGAGAGACGAAGGGATAGGAGGGATAGGAAGGATTGAGGGGCTAGAGCAAGGAACATCTGAAAGTAGCAATAGGTCTGCAGCATGTCATAGTAGTCACGATCCATGTTCTTAACTTGTCGTTTCTGATCTCTTCTTTGCAGTCGTTGACACCTCCTCTCTTTCATACGGCCTGTCCAACATTCTTGCTTTCGGGAGATCAAGTTTGTCAGCAGCAGCTGCTCGGCAGAACTGTTTTGCTTCAGGCCCGCCCGTTCTATCCCCCAGCCGCCAATACAACTTTGCATGCCCTGCTAGAAGATCGGTGTCTGGGAGGAGATCGATACTTACCTTGCAGCTCATGGCATCCATGAACGTTGCTCTTGTATTTGTGAAGCCTCATGCTGTCAACGACAAAGTGCTTTCTCTCACAAGGTGAAAGCGTGTTGTTGCTTGCTCTGAGTGCTGACCCGGGAGCAGATCGCATCTTGAAGGGAAAGGTATCAAGATCTTGAAGCAAGGAGAGCTGACAGCTGATGTCATCAAGGCCAAGGGGATCATCGACGATCACTATGCTGCGTTGGCGGCCAATGCTGTCAAGCTTCACCCGCGAGAGCTGCTCGTGTCTGCTGACAGGCAGGCGGACTTTGAGAAGGAGTTCGGCAAGAGCTGGACCCAGGCCTGCTCGGATGGCTCCGTCATGAACCTCGCGCAGTATCAGGAGAAGAATCCTTCCCTGGACGTGACCACCATCGAGAGCAGATGGAGGGCTGGCAAGACGTTCAAGCTCGCCCCTGGCAACTACGTCTCGCTCATCTCCGACGATGGCGCGATAGTGGTCAACGGGTTCTACGGGAGCATGAGGGAGAAGTTCACGGCCCCGGGCGCGCAGGTCAACTGGATGCAAGTTGAGTTCGACGAGGCGAGCCTGTCCTGGAAGGCCTTCCGCAACGAAGTCATCGGAGCGACTGACCCCAACGCTGCTGCCGGCGGGTCGTTGAGAAAGAGAGTCATGGAGGACTGGCAGAGCCTCGGCCTTGCCTTCCAGCCTAACACGAGCGACAACTCGATCCATGCGAGCGCCGGGCCGTTGGAGGGACTGAGAGAGCGAGAGATCTGGATGCAGGTCAGCCTCGAAGAAGATCCGTTTGGGAAGCAGCTCCTGTCCAAGGGAGTGAAGCTCGAGACGATAAGGAGACTGTGTGGTAACGAAGTTGTGTCCCTGGGCGGCTCGTCTGGTCCAGCCTTCGACGTGTTCGAGGAGATGGACTCCTCCAAGGCGATAGAGCATGTGCTGGAGCTGCAGAAGTCCTGGTGATAGGTGAGGCTGCAGCGAGAGGAGGTTGGGGAAGGGGAGGAATAGGCAGATCAGGGAAGGAGTGGGGAGGAGCTAGAATTCCGAATGATGTCTGTCAAAAGCACTGGGTTCTGAACACGATGACGATGCTTATGAAATGACAGCCTGACGGGATAGCTTGTGTTATACGGCAGAAGGGGGAGATGAAACTGTCCAGTCATTTCTTGTGTTATACGGCAGAAGGGGGAGATGAAACTGTCTAGTCATTTGACATGTGCGCAGCAGGTGTAGCAGCGTCGATAATCAACGACATGAGCAAGGTAGAGCGAGAGACTGTTTGCTTGTCGACTCGTTCCCTATCGTTTATATCAACACGATGCAAACATATCTGCACATGATTTCCTATGATTGTTTGTGCAAGCCTTCAAAGTTCGCTGATTGCTGCTGTCCCTCTTATCTTGCTGTTCTAGCGCACTCACTGCTTCGTAACACCGTACCACGGCAGGTGGCGAGGCCCTTCGCTTCTCGTTCCTCCTTCCATTATTTTTTCCCCCTTTCCCTTTAGCTCTTCAAACACCATTGCCCTCTCTCAATGAAGCATCAGATTGGTTGCCCCTTTACTTGTCTATCACATGTTGGCTCGCTCGTCCTCAGTCTTGTCGATGCGGATCATGTCGTCGATGCGGAGAATCGTCACCGCAGCCTCAGTGGCGAACGCGATCGACTTCGTCTTGCTCATCGTCGGCTCTAGGACACCAGCCTGCAGGCAATTGTGGATGACTCCCGTCCTGCACCAGCCATCACGGAGGCGCGACAACGTTAGCGGTCAGTTACCTCAGGTTGAGGCCCGAGCACGACTTCTCCTTGAACTTGCCCGCGTCCTTCTCTTGCTGTGAGCAAGTGAGTGTGAGGGTGCAGCGGACTGCAAGTCTTGCCTGAGAGTGGTAGTGGTCGGCTCTGAGCTTCGCGACCAGCTCCGTAGCGTCGCATGCAGCGTTCACGGCCAGTGTCTTAGGGATAACAAGGAGAGCCTGAGCGAACTCCGCGATGGCCATCTGCAGAGCTGTTATCACACAAGGACGATGACGTCCAATCCAATGACCTGCTCACGTGACCCTAACGTGTGCGCAAAGTTCTCGAGGTAGATGGAAAGAGCAGCTTCAACCTGAGGGCAACGGCATTAGAGCAGTAGGGAACAATGAGTGCGCGTACCGCTCCTCCTCCTGGAACCACTTCGTTTGACTCCAGCACACGTTTCACAACGCACATGGCGTCATGGAGCGCTCTCTCCATCTCGTCGAGCGTGTACCTATGTCGAGTCAAACATGACCAATGTTCACGTTGATCCTTCCACTTACTCGTTGGGTCCGCGAAGAAGGATGGAGCCAGATTTTTGGCTGTGCAGGATGTCAGTTTCCATCAAAGTCTCAGCGTTGCACTTGTTACTTTGCGCATCCTTCAATCACGATGAGTTCGTTGTCACCAACTCGCTCCTCATAGACTTTGTCTGCTTGACCCAACATGGATGGATCAAAAGATTCTTCGCCTTCCATCCCAGCCATTGAAAGCATGATCGTTCCACCAGTCACCTTGGCAATCCTACCACAACGAGTGAGCTCATGCCCCACATCCACGAGAGTTGAAACCTTCTCAAGTCATCCTTCTTCACTCTCCTAACTCCAATCGCTCCAGCTTGCACCAGCCATTTCAGGCAAAGGTCATCGATGCCCTTGGAAGTAAGGATGACGTTGGCACCCTGCCCGATGTGTCAGCTTCCGATCCTCCGCTCCTGTTGGACTTACCGCCTTGATAAGGAGGTCGATTCTTTCCTTCATGATATCTTCTTCTCTATCGCGAATGGCTTGCAACTTGGAAGGATCCGTCACAACCACCTTCAATGTCCAGGTCATGTCAATTCCAGCAGCAGAAAGCAAGTTGCAGGGTCACCTGTACCCCAAGGCTCATCTTGTATTTCCTCAAGTCGTAATCTAGCAAAGCGATCTTCGCTTTGTTCACAACGGTCGGCATAGCCTTGATTCAAGATGTCATTTTCGAGTGAGAAACAAGGTAAAACCGATCACCTGGGAAGCCCTGGTGCAGTTCAAGGCGTAGCCTGCGATGCGTCGACTTTCCTGGCTACTCTTACCGTGGGCCTGGAAGCATAATTAGGCTTCGAAAGTAGGCAAGGGAACATTTGACCTTCAAGACGTTAATGGCCTTCACAGGATAGCGAACATCGCCAGAGCTGTTGACGGTCTTGACGGACATCACTGAATCAACCGCCATGGCCGCAAAGAAGTCTTGAATACACCATGAGCAACCATGCAAACAGAACAAGGGAAACATACCGGAATTAATGTTCAAAATCTTGGATGACATGGAAGTCTTTGCAACATTGATCAAGGCATCCCTCCCCAGCTTGTCAACCTGATCCAAACTGAGCCACTCTTGTGGTCAAACTCTCAAACATCCAAGTACCTTGGTGCTCAGTTTTTCATTCACATACTTGATCGCTTCCTTTTGAGCCAGTCGAAACCCGCTAATGATCGAGGTTGGGTGAATCTTCATGTTCACCAGCTCATTGGCTCTCTGCAATGTCATCACAACTTTGTGCGCACTCAAGGACTAGACAATCACCCGAAGCAATTCTGCCGCTAAGATGACAACAGACGTTGTCCCATCCCCCACCTCCTTATCCTGAGCGGCAGCGTTACACCCGAGCAACAAAAGTCCATTTCTCGTTACCTGGAGTTGCGCCAGGTCTACCAAGACCTTTCCTGCAGGGTGATCCACTTCAAGGAGGTTTAAGATGGTAGCTCCGTCATTGGTGACGGTTGTGTCGCCAATATCGTCGACTAACATCTTGTCCAGTCCAACTGGTCCCAGAGAAGACTTGACAACATTTGCTATAGCCATACAAGCCATGACTGTAATGTGACAAAACAACATCAATTCAATCCACGATAACACAGCGTTCAACATGAAGAAATACCATTTTGCGTCCTCACATCCTGACCAGACTTGCGATCGCCTTCAAGTCCTGTAAGGCCTTCTCCACCGAAGGCATTGCTCCCTTTGACCATGTCTGGAACAAACAGCATGTGTGAGTTTTCCACTGTGAGAAACGAGAGGCATGATATGGAAAGGAAATTATCTGCATGAGTCAGAACAGTAAACAAAGAATCAAAGAATCAAACAGGGTTGATTACAAAGCATGACAGGTTAGATAGTTTGACTGGAAAGACTTCCATGAAGTCTATGGATGCCTTGCAGTGCGTGCAAGACTGAAAGAAGACTGGGTTGTTTCATACCAGACATTATCCGTTAGATTAGAATGGTTCTGAAAATCCAGTAATTTAATGACACGACATGCATCAATAGGGAAAATTGATCCCATTGTTAACTCTCCTGACCTCTATTTGCTGGCCTTAGGGAACAGTCATGGAAGGATACAGACTTTCTGCAGAGACCTGAGTTTCTTACTCTCCTACACTGTCCGGCCCCCCAAAGGAGCAAGAAGTTACTGATATCCCCTGATATATGATAACCCTGGCCTTCGAATCACTCGTCACGTTAACTGCTCCTGTAATGTCCAACATTGGTGCCAACATTCTATTCTTTGTTCATAATTCATCTTCTTTGATCCTCCATTGTCTTTCTCCTTGTACAACTCAAGAACTTCTATGAATCATGTATCTGCCTCCTGCCTCCTGCCTCTCTTCCTCCGCTTCCCCCTCCACCCTCTCTCCTGCTCTTCCATTTCCCTTTCCCGCCTTTTCTGGTTAACTACCCTACCCACATACCCTACCCCCACGATCATCAAGGACCACCTTTAATGATGCCCCTACTTTCCTGATAAATTCATCCCATGAAGCACCGGGTCCTTAAATTACCACCCCTCAAGGAATCATTTGACCACCCCCTCTTTCTTCAAAAACAGATCGCATGCGGTGTCCTATCCTACCCCCTCGCTCCCTCCCTTTCTTACCACCCCCACCTCAACCTAATTGTACCCCCTACCCCCATATTGTTCTAGGTCCATTGGAGCCCTATTTCCGACCACCTTCCTAGGACCTCACTCATGGTACTACCCTACCCTCTCTATTAGAACGTCTTCCTCGTTCTTCGTACCCCTCCTTGTTGCAGGAGTCGGAGGGCAGTAGTAGTTGAAAACGGATGAGGGAGGCGCAATGCTTTGTGCGATGAGTCGGAGAGCGAGGCGACATGCAGCAGAAGAGGAAGAGGAGAGGGAGAGGGAGAGGGAGAGGGAGAAGAAGAGTAAGAGGAAGAGGAAGAAGAAGAGGAAGAGTAAGAGGAAGAAGAAGAGGAGGAGGAAGAGGAAGTGGAAGAGAGGGAGGGGAGGGAGAGAGGAGGGAGAGAGGAGGGAGAGAGGAGGGCGAGAGGAGGGAGAGGAAGAGCATTTGGAGGAGGGGAAGGGGGGTGAGGGGAAGGAATGGAGAAGCGAAGAAAACAGGGTTAGTTTGTAAACTGTCAGAGCTGGGATGGTCGTGGACCTTGTTCAACTTGACTGACATCCTTGTTGCCCCCAGGATGCCAGGGCTTCGACAAGACATCGACCCTAGTGGACTGCTGGAATATTCCGTCGTTTATACAGACAGGGCTCTCAACCACATGAGCCAGTCGTTTCAGGGGGTAATGAAGGATCTCAGTGCGTCGCTGAAGAGAGCGTACAATGCCAAGGAGCTGGTCGTCATTCCAGGGAGTGGAACCTACGGGATGGAGGCTGTTGCCCGGCAGTTTGCCAAGAACCAGCATGTGCTGATCATAAGGAATGGTTGGTTCAGCTTTCGATGGACTCAGATCCTGGAAACGGGAAAGATTGCGTCAAGGACAGTGGTGCTCAAAGCTAGGAGAGAGGGAGCTGGTGGGGATACAGACAGTTTCCGTCCTCCACCGATCGAAGTAGTGGTGAGTGAGGGGTTGGAATGGTGGCGATCGGATGACAAGTGCTCCAGGAAGATACCATCAAGCGGGAGAAGCCCTCTGTTGTGTTCGCTCCTCATGTTGAAACCAGTGTGGGGTTGATCTTGCCTGACGACTACATCCGACGAGTGGCAGAGGCGACCAGGTCGGTGGGCGGCATCTTCGTGCTGGACTGCATAGCGAGCGGAGCCCTCTGGATCGACATGGCGAGCCTGGGGGTGGACGTGCTGATCTCAGCTCCTCAGAAAGGATGGTCGGGCCCAGCATGCTGTGGGCTGGTTCTGCTGGGTGAGCGAGCATGTGCACGAGCTTCGTGCTCCAACTCCGACAGTTTCTCCATGGACCTCAACGTCTGGAGAAAGTTGATGGGGACGTACGAGGCTGGCAAGCACATGTACCATGCTACCATGCCAACAGATGCTCTCCGGATGTTCCGAGACGTGGTGAAGGAGGCAGAAAAGTTCGGGCTAGACAAGCTGAAGCAGGAGCAAATTCTGCTGGGGAGAGAGGCGAGGGAGCTGGTGCATGCTAAGTTTGGCTTCAAGAGCGTAGCAGCGGAAGGGTTCCAGTCTCCCTGCGTCATTGTGTCATACACTCAAGACTTGCAGATCAAGAGCGGACAGAGCTTCGCTAAGGTCGGCATGCAGATCGCTGCTGGCGTTCCGCTCGCCCTAGATGAAGGAGATCGCTACAGCTCCTTCCGCGTCGGACTCTTCGGCCTCGACAAGCTGCTGAATCGTCGGCGAACGATCAAGTTGCTGGAAGAGGCGATGGAGAAAGTGGTCAAGGGGAGGAGCTCGACGTCGCGCCTCTGAGCTCCTCCTGTTCTCTCTCATGTCCTCTCTTTGTTTCATTACACTGATAACAAATGAGAAGTCTCAACACCAATATCGACACCCTTCCTTGACGCGTCCTCGTCCTCGTCCTCGTCCTCGTCCTCGTCCTCGTCCTCGCCCTCGTCCTCGTCCTCGTCCTCGCCCTCGTCCTCGTCCTCGTCCTCGTCCTCGTCCTCGTCCTCGTCCTCGTCCTCGTCCTCGTCCTCCCCCCATCAAACATTCTCCACTCCTCAATGCGCCTGCTATTCAATTTTGTGTCGAGGCTTTGGATTTAGTAGGTCCTCGCCCTACGAAATGCCGGTGCTGCGAGAGACCTGTGTGGAGTTGCCGCTGGGAGAGAGAGGAAGAGAGGAGGAGGAGGAGGAGGAGGAGGAGGAGGAGGAGGAGGAGACAGACAGACAGACAGACAGACAGACACGTGAAAACTGGTATGAGCTCGTGGAGGAGGAAACCCTGGTGTGATGAAGATTACGGCGCGAATGAGAATGAGGATCTGCCATGCAGAGACGACGCAAGCAGGAGCTGACCTGGCAGTGTGTTCTGAGGAGAAGAGCAGCAGAGCAAGACCAGGCCACAACCCTTCCTCTCTCCCCCTCTCGTCTCCCTCCTATCACTGAATCGTCCGACCTTCTGCCATGTCCACGACGCTCCCGCTCCTCCATGGCCGAGGAGGCTCGCGCAACGACGTATCTTTCCTTAGCGCATCGAGATCGTGGAGGAGGGCAGTTGTGTCTGCAGGAGCAGGAGCTTCCTGCTACCTGATGAAGAACAGCAGATGGGGGATTCTGCTTGAGCTGACGGCAGACGGCAGAATTTTCTTCACGCCCTTGGATTGTTGGCGGAGGGAGTTCTGCAAGGATGGGAAGGTGAGAAGGGCAGCAAGGAAGGATGGTTCAGAGAGAGGGCAGAGACATTCGGCGGACTTTGATGAGATCAGGTTCACCACTGAGAGCATGTTTGGCTGGCATGTTGTTGCACATGGGCAGGACATCTGCGTTCACCACCAGGAGCAGCCAAGTGCCAACATGCCAACAGCGATCTTGGTCCCTGACTCTCTCTTCCTCTTCGGGTACGATGATGAGACAAGGGTCGTCCTCCCAAGGTCTTGTATCAAAGTCCGCAGGCAGGAAGACTACAAGCACGTCGACTCGCATGAAACTAGTTCAGTCCTACAGGCTTGTAAGCACATGAGCACGGAAGAAACGTACAGGGTCCCTGAAGTCAGTCAAGCTCCAGGAGAGCTGGAGGAGCCGGACACTCTTGGATCGTTGAGGAGATCGTACGAAAGAAGATCTGGGGAGCATCGGGAGAGGAGGAGGAGAATGGAGGAGGTGTTCAAGTACCCAGCGGCGCTGAGGATGCGATGCTCATTGCTGTTCGAGCTGACGCACCTGCACCTTGAGGCAGAGGAAGGTATCATCGATGCCCCTGCTCTCAAGAGCAGGAGCAAGAGCGTGCTGCAGTCAAACCTCAAGTGGATGAAGGAGGCGGGCAAGAGGAGCAGGAGCCTGTCTTCCCTCGGCGACATATTCGCTGAGGGGCAGGACTCTCTCTGTCATGCGTGGGAGAGGCTGACGTGGGACGCGAAGCTGCGAACGATCCAGTTCCTCCTCAAGTGCGAAGACGTGCAACTGAGCGAGAAGCATGCTCCTGTCACTGCTCTGCTGCAGGTGCTGCTCCAATCTGGTGCATGGAGGAGATTCGTTGCGAGCGAGACAGACGAGGCGGCAGAGAGGAAGCAGCCGGGAGAGGAGGAGGAGCGGGAGCTGAGGGGAGTGGCGGTCTGTGGGAGGGAGGAGATGGAGAGGACCAGGCGACTGTTCGCGTCCTTGTCGGGGAGGCAGGTGGGTCAGATGTACGACGAGTGCGAGCGGTGCGGCAGACCCTGCAACGTCGCTGGCTCGGGGATCTGCGTGCGCTGCCTCCAGCTGGGGGGGGACGGGGAGCTTGGAGATTTCTCAGCTGTCATCAGCGGGCCCTCCACCTACCTGGGGGACAGCCGGAACTTTCGTCGGCACTCAGGGTTCAGTGAGTACCTCGCTCCTCCCTCCGCCTCCCCCAAGAGGGCGGCGGCGGACAAGCTCGCGGCGGTGTCGAGGAGGAGGGAGGAGTTCGGGCGAGTGTTCCCTCCTATCGCACGTGGAGAGGAGGGGAGGGTGCTCAGGATGGCCGCGATGCTGGCCGAGAGCAAGAGGAAGCCTCCCTCCGACCGGCTCAAGTTCCTTCAGAACGTCAGGAGCAACGAGCTGGACCAGGTTCTGGACATGCTGCAGCAGTTACAGGACTCGAAGTCCTCCGTCAGCAAGCTGGTCGAGACGAGAGACGAGGAGGGGAACACTGGCTTCATGATCGCAGCCGTGCAGGGGCTGAGGAGGATGTGCAGAGCGCTGCTGGACTTCAGCTGCAACGTGGACGCGCAGAACGTGGAGGGCAACACGGCATTGCACCTCTGCCAGATCAAAGGCCAGCACTCGATGATCCCCTTTATCCTCAAGAAGGTGTGTCAACCCCTCCCGACCCTCCTACCTCCTCTCCTCCTCTCTTCCCTCCACTGGTCAACTTCTGTCCTCTCCCTTGATCTCTTCACCCCTCCTCTCCTTTCCTCTCCTCTCTCTCCCCCTCTCTCCTCCAGTCTGATCAGCTGGCAGGGAGCGGATCCCTCCATAGCGAACTTGCAGGGCAAGACCTACAACGAGTCCTAACCCTTCACAGCGGACGAGCTGCCCGCGCCGCGTCCATGGCTGCCTTCAGGGTCTCCGGCCCGACGATCCATCCCTTCCTCGCAAAGTGAGCGCGCATGTCAGGATCGTCGACGCTCTTCCTGTTGACCTCGGCGAACACCTCGCAGAGGATCTGAGTGTGGTTGGCTACCTCTAGCTTCTCCACGTAGTCTCGGATCACTTCCAGCGACTGCACCCTGGCCATCACCACCAGCGACTTGCCGACGTTGACGAGCTCCGGGCTCCCCTTGCTCCACTTGGTGTAGTCCTTCCCCCGCATCGACAGCCGAACGACCTCCCCCGCCACGAACGCGTCGTCATGGTTGGGGCTGTCGAAGTTGACAGGATACTGGCTGCAGCAGGAGGTGAGCGGGAGAGGAAGACGGCAAGGAGGAGGGGGTGGACCTGTAGATGGCCGCAGCTCGCTTAGGGTCCTTGAGGTCCAGCAGCTCGCCGATCTTGAAGTAAGCCTCGAAATCGCGCGGGTTTATCTCAATGCTCTCCTCATACAGGGATGTGACAGAGGCGATCAGGTCAGGAGGAAAGGCCGTCGGATCTCCTCCCTTCTCAGTCAGCACCTTGGCTAGTCCGATCCTCGAGCTGCAGCTGCGAGGATTGACGAGCTTCTCCTCCTTCCTGTCGTCTCCCTCCTCCGCCTTCTCCTTCGCGTTCCCTGTGCTCGCGTTCGCAGGCTTGCTGGCCGGGCTCTTGGCCCCTCCCTTGACCACGTTCTCCGGCTTTCCTTTCCCCCTCCCCACTGACTGCGAGGGAGTCTTCAGCGGAGCCTTGGAGGCAGTACTGGTGGGTTTGGCAGTGACGCCTTCGAGCTGGTCTGTGAGGGGCTGAAAGGGCTTTCCCTCGAGGAGGAGACTGCGCCTGAAGCTTTCTTCCGCCTGCTGCAGCAGCGCAGCGTCGCTCCTGTGCCCCGGGTGATGCTCGTACATGTCGAGCAGTGCGTGCCCGAGGAACTCGTGGACGTCAGCGCGGGAGGAAGCCATGGCGACGGCGAGCTCAGCGTTGCGCAACCTGAGACATGATGAAGATGAAGATGTGAGAAGGAGGCGAAAGATGAGGTGTTTTACAAGTAGGGGAAGGGGATGGAAAGGAGAGAAGGGGAGGGAGAGAAGGGAGAGAAGGGGAGGGAGAGAAGGGAGAGAAGGGAGGGAGGAGGATGCTACCTTGTCTCAATAGAAGCTGCATTCTTCTCCACTTGTGTGCTGAGGGTCTAAGGAGAGGATGAGCGACAAGCACTCGAGCTCTTCTGCTGACCTGATTCAGCGCCTTGAGCATGTCAAACGCCGTCTTGTGTTTGTTGCTCTTCTTGTAAGCTTGAATGAGGTGGGCCTCCGCTCGCATCTTGAGCACCTGGAGGACACCATCAACACTCCTGCTCCTGCTCCTGCTCCTGCTCCTGCTCCTGCTCCTGCTCCTGCTCCTGCTCCTGCTCCTGCTCCTGCTCCTGCTCCTGCTCCTGCTCCTGCTCCTGCTCCTCTCTTATGACCTTGGATTCACTCTGTGTCTGCTGGCAGAGCCCAAGGTTGGCAATGTTGGAGAGGATCTTGATAGAGATTTCCAGCATCGTGATCGCCTGTTGCCAGACATCTCAGGAGGAGGAGGAGGGAGTGGCTGAGGTAGCTGAGGCTGAGGCTGAGGAGGCAGAGGAGGAGGAGGAGGAGGAGGAGGAGGCAGAGGAGGAGGAGGAGGAGGAGGAGGAGGAGCACCTTGGCAGTCCTCCCGTGCTCCATCAGAGCAATACCGAACTCGACGCTGCCTCGCTGAACGTCCGGGTTGGAGATGCGAACGGTCTCATCGGACAAGAGCTCGTACTGCTGCAGACATGTCGAGTCTCCGTTCATGAGCAAGTCAACCTGACTGCCCATGGCAAGGATGCTCTTCTCCATACACCTCTCGATCTTGTCAAGGTTCGCTCGCACAAACGCCTCCTCCTTGGCCAGGTAGCAGAGGCCGAGGTAGAGGCTGCCCCCGAGGTCTGACGCGTCTATCTTGCAGCACCTCTCAAGGGTTTCAATGGCGTCGTCGAGAGCTCCAAGAAAGTATTTCACCCTCCCCGCAGCGAATAACAACTTGCCCTCTACCTGCGACGACTCCTTGCAACGTTTCAACCCCTTTCTGTACTCCTCCATGGCCTCGTTGAGCTCCTTCGAGTACATGACGACGTCCTGACTCTCCTCCTCCTTCTGCTTCGAGTAGAACTCTCCTCCTCTCTCCATGTTCGTCCGATACTCCCGGTACCACTCGAGCAGCAGCGCCACAGTGTCTGCCTGCAGCTGCAGACCGAACTGCACGTTGTCATGGTACTCCTCCTCCAGCTCCTTCAGCTGTTCATCGATCGAGACCGACCCAAACACTCCGCGATTCTTGAGGATCGCCTTGATCTGTTAGCAACCGCTCAGTCCAGCGGCAGCAGCAGTGGCAACAAGAGGAGGAGGAGGAAGGAGGAAGGAGGAAGGAGGAAGGAGGTAGAGGAGGAGGAGCAAGAGTAGGAGGTTGAGGACCAGCAGCAGGGTGCAGGAGGAAGAGGAAGAGGAGGGATGGGGAGGGGTGGGGGGGGGGTACAGACCTCGTCGAGGTTGGCTGAGTCTTTCTCGGCGGATCGGGAGGATGACTTGCCGTCTTGACCTGGAGAGCCGTAGATGCTGTGAAGATGCTTCGCCTCCTCTCTGACGTGCCCCAGACAGCAGTGCATGTTATCAAGCTCGTCCTGCTGGCTAAGGATCTGAGCGAGTGACGTCAGGTGACGTCGAGCGCCGACACGTCATCAACCTCAACGGCAGCGTCGTCGAAGACACTTGCCATGTCCGTGAGACACTCGCGTACCCGGTCGATGCTGGACTTGGAGTTGACTGCGGAGAGGTATTGCGTCTGAAAGGTCAAAGTGAGAATGCAAGTACGGCAAGGTCGATGGAGATGAGAGAGAAGGTGGGGAATGAGAACAAGCGCGAGGGAGGGAGGGAGGGAGGGAGGGAGGGAGGGAGGGGAGGAGGGAGGGGAGGAGGGAAGGGAAGGAGGAAGTAGGCTCAGGTTCAGCATTGCCTTCTTCAGTCTGAATTTCTCCCATACAAGAACTTTCCTCAGCTCGCGCGACGGTGCTGACTTTGACCAACATCGTCATCGTCATCGTCATCGTCATCGTACCAGAACAACATCAACGGTGTCACCTCTAGCTCCTTGAGCATCGCCATCGCCTCCTTGAAGTTCTCAGTTGCAACACTCTTACGTAGCAGTATTATCCTCTCCTACCATCACGTCAGCCTCCCTCACGCCCTCCCTCCCTCCCTCCCATCCTCCTCCGCTCCCTTCCCTCCTCTCCCTCCCCTAGCACTTCACCTCTGCGCACAGGGATTCCTTCCAGCCCATGTACGAGCTGCAAGCCTTCTCAGCAGCCTTTCTCCAGCTCGCCACCAGCTCCGACGGATCCGACGTCTCCTCCGCCTCCTCCACCTTGAAGATCGGATCCACTTCCCTTAGATCCCCAGCAAGATCCCGCATCCCTCCGTAGATTTTCCCCTCCGTCCGAGCATCCAAGAACACGTTGGGGAAGAGGAGGGCCAACTCTCGAGCAGAAGCGGCCAGCAGCACGAGGCCCTCCCTCCCTTCCACAAGGTGGGCATCACGGAGCACAAGGTTGAAGCAGGAGAACGCTGCCTGCCTGTACGTCTTCCTTCTCGAACCCCGCGGGCCACTCTCTACCAGCAGGCACCCGAGGTACACCAGAGCACGCTGGAGGTCAGCGGACAGTTGACATCCCCTGATGCTGCAGACTGAGAGGACAGGAGAGGGCGGAACCTGACCTTGCTTGCAGGAGGCACTTACTAGGAACTCCCTCTTGCTGTCCTCCGTGATACCCTTCATAGGGATTCTAACACAAGCTTCCCTGCTTGCAATCTCTACCAACGTGTCCTTGCTGATCACCTTCTCCTCTGGCACCTTCAGCTCCACCCGGGGGGGACAGACGAGCCAACTAGCGCTGAGCAGCTCCATTGGCTTCCCTGCCACATCATCCAACAAGATCGGAGTAGACTGGTCTCCTTCGAAGTCAGGGAGAGTGATCACGATGCAGTCGCCAGCCGACAAGTCCATGGAGCAGCGGAACTTGAAGGCGAGACGCGCCATCCCTTCGGGCTTCCCATCCACAAAGTCCAGCAAAGTGTCCACCAGCTGCCCTGGCACTGAAGCACCAGCAGTCGCCTCCTCCTTGGCAGTCTTGGGAGCTTCCTTGGCTGCTGATAGAACTTTTGCTGCTGTTGCCTTCGGAGATGCGACAGCCTTGGTGGGAGAAGGCCTTGCAGCAGCAGCAGCAGCAGGAGTCTTAGCTGGAGCCTTCACGGCAGCAGTCGGAGGCTTGGCTGTCGCTGCTGTCACCTTCGACCTGGCAGGGGCAGGGGCACGCGACGGAGCCGCTGCTGCGCTCCTACCTACAGGGACCTTGGCCGTTGAGGCAGGAGGAGTCTGAACCTTCTCCTCCAACGCCAGTCCAGCAATCTCGATCTCTCGCTTCTTCAAGACCTCCGATGCCATTCCAATGGCAGCAAAGGGCTCTGCTGCCTTATAGAACAGTGCATCTCCAATGACCCCCAGCACCTCCTTGTCTGTTTTGTCTGCCATGTTAGGCGCTTTCCTGTCCGGATCTCCTGCTACACCTTACCCCACTGCCCAGAGACCAGTGCTGATGTGCGGCTGAGTTGTAGACACGTCTTCATCTACACCCTGCCATAGTTCGCTTGCGGATCAGCAAACAGACTGACACTTGAGATCGCAATCTGATGTACTTCCTCCTGGTGCGAGGGTGATATCTAAGCCCAGAAGCAAGAAACTCTCCTCCTTGCTTCTCTCCCCTCTCCTCTATCCAGCGATCCGAGACCTCCTCCCCTTCCTCCCTTCCTCCGCCTCCTCCTCCTCCTCCTCCTCCTCAGTCCTGCATCGAGCAAGGCATGAAGCGCCTAGTGATCTCCGAGAAATTGCTGACACAAGGAAATGAGGGAGATGATACAACGGAATGCGCGGGGAGGAGGGTAACCTCAAATGAATGCGGCAGGTTGTGATGAGATGCGGGTCCGAAGATAGAGATGATGAGCCGAGACGAATGAAAATGATGAGATGTTATGATGAGGTGTTATGATGAGGTGTTATGATGAGGTGTTATGATGAGGTGTTATGATGAGGTGTTATGATGAGGTGTTATGATGAGGTGTTATGATGAGTTTTTATGATGAGATGTTGTGATGCATGCATCATGTGTGAAGAGACGACGCAATGTGTTACGATGAGTCAGCACAACATGAGCTGGAGGCATGAAACGCCATCGTGAGACATCGGACGAGGCCTTGTGATTGGATCGAGATCAGCTCAGGTGTCTCAATGGATCGATACCGCGTGATCAAGCAGCTGGGAGATGGCACGTACGGGGAAGTCTTGAAGGCTTCCAACAAGGCCACAGGAGAGATAGTGGCTGTGAAGCGAATGAAACGGAAGTATCGCTCATGGGAGGAGTGCATAGCGCTGAAGGAGGTGAAGGTGCTTCGCAAGATGAAGCACCCTAACATCGTCCGGCTCAAGGAAGTGATCAAGGAGAACGACATCCTCTACTTCGTGTTTGAGTTCCTCGACCAGAACCTGTACGAGCTGAGCAAGAATCGGAGGAAGGCCTTCCCGGAATGCGCGATAAGGAACTACATGTTTCACGTGCTCCAGGGGCTCAGCTACATGCACAAGTGCGGCTACTACCACCGCGACATCAAACCCGAGAACATCCTCGTATGCGGGGACATCGCTAAAGTAGCTGACTTCGGCCTTGCCAAAGAGATTCACTCGCGCCCCCCCCAGACGGACTATGTCTCTACCCGATGGTACCGCGCTCCTGAAGTCCTCCTACGGAGCCCGAGCTACAACGCTCCCATCGACGTCTGGGCAGTGGGCTGCATGATGGTGGAGCTGATGATGCTGCGTCCCCTGTTCCCCGGCTCCTCGGAGGCGGACGTTCTCTTCAAGATCTGTACCGTCCTGGGGACCCCGACGGCAGAGACATGGAGAGATGGGATCAAACAAGTCGTTGCTCGTCCTCCTGTCACGTTGAGGCTGATCCTCCTGCAGGCGTCCATGATCAACTATCGGTTTCCCAAGCTCAGCCCAGCCCCCCTCCAAAGTATTGTCCAGCATGCAAGTCAGGTACAGCCTCCGCCTCCTCCTCAGCTTCTCCCTGACTCATGCCGCAGGAGTCGCTCGCCGTCATCGCCGACATGCTCCTCTGGGATCCCTCGCAGCGACCGACTTGCTCTGAGTGCCTGCAGTATCCCTTCTTCCGTGTGGGCCTGGACATCCCAGCTCCGGTACGGCCAAACGCCGACGTCGACGAGCTGAGAATCTCTGTAGGAGATGGATGGGGGTGAAACCCGCATGGTTGACCTCAGCAGCTGCCCAGCTGGATTAGACAGGCTCCCTTCCCAGCCCGACATTCCTGGAGGGCCAGGGCCTACGAAGGTGAGCAATAGGGTCAAGCATGTCGGATCAGTTGCTGATGCTCACGATACAGGTAGACAATCAAGTTGAGCAAGCAGAAGGAAGTTTGCAGGAGGCTGGTACCAAGAAGAGGGTCCCTTCCTCCCTTGCCCTCCTGCTGCAGTCAAGATACGTTGCCGGCACCGTCCTGACGGCCAACCAGAATCCTAAGGATTCCAGCCAAGTCAGCCAGCGCTTTCTGGAGCTTCCTGTAGAAACTGTTTCAGCAAACTACCGGGGGCCCAAAGGTAAAAGTGCGAGCAGGAGGAGAAACATACGTCACTGCTCGTGCTCCTGGCACTTGACGTCAAGTGCCAGGAGCAGGAGCGTGTGGTGGTGGTGGTGGTGGTGGTGGTGGTGGTTGTAGTAGTGGCGGTGGTAGTAGGTGCAGGAGGAGGAGGATTGTTAACTCGAGTAACAGACGCGGGATCATTGCTATCAAACCCGCTACAGGCAGCGGTGAAAGGCATCGCAGACATCTCCATACGGTATTCGAAATCCTTTATCTGATCTCCACCTGACTCTAGAACGAAGTGCTGGGCCGTCGGAGTCCAACAGAAAGCAATATGATGCCTTTGGGAGGAGGAGATATTGACTTTTGATACTGATTGGAGCCATGGAAGCCATTAAGGGCCATTGTTCCGCCATGAACAGAAGGGCAAAGAGACCGATGGTATTCGCATTTTCCAATTAACTTTTAATGATCAAGTTTCGCCTCCCTTGATACCCAACACATGTTGGCTGCTCCTAGCTTGTTTCAATAAAGTCTTAATCCCTACGTTGCCTTTTTCCTGTTCCCCTGTGACAGATCAGCGTCTTGTCGTCAAGAAGCTTTACTTGATGAAACTCACCTTGATCGCGACGATTCCCTCGATGAAGACGAGGAAGATGACGAGGACGATGATGATGATGACGATGATGATGATGATGAGGAGGAGTCGCTGTCGCTGTCGCTGTAAAAGCCCACCATGAGAACACAAACTTGTTCGTCCAGCAAGCATGAGCATGTCTGGCCACCTGCTTGAGCTCGACGAGTCGCTGCTGGATGAGCTAGAGGAGGAAGAGGAGGGAGACGGGGATCGGCTCTTCTTCCTGTTAGCAGGAGAACCACCGATGAGACACAGGAAGCACAAACGACTCGCTCACTTCTTCTTCTTCTTGTCTTTCGAGACCACCGGCTTCGGGGGAGGCGGCAACCTGCGACGTCTCAATGGCGGAGGATGAGCAGGGGGGCCTATCGACCTGTCGAGGAAGCTACTGCGAGGCTCGTCGGGGGGCAGGCAAGGAACTGCCTCCCTCGGCTTCAGAGGATCGCGAGATCGTGAGACAGGCTTCACGTGCTTTGGCTTCGATGTCGACAGGCCCCAGCATTGCCTTGAAACCCAACAAGAGTGAATCGAACGACAGACACGCCCTATCGTCCTCACCCCATCTCATACTTGGACTCGTTGAACGACCTCGGAACGTACTTCTGCACGGCCTCCCTCGGACGTTTCGTGATCTGCACGGACCCAACTTTCTCTGTGCTGCTGGCATAGAGCTGACGGAGAGCGGACGCCCTTGCTTCCCTTCGGCTGATACCGACCTCCTCCTGCCCAAAGGCATTGATGAACTGTCCTCCGACCTTGGGCTGGAGTTGGTTCTGCTGTGATGCCTGCATGCATGGTCAGCATTTCGTCTGCGAGCAATCAGCCATGAAGAAGTTGATGGTCACCTGCAGAAGCCTCTGTGTGATCTCGGCGGCTTCCTTTCGCTGCTCCAGCTTCTCCTTCTTCTGATTGCGCACGTGGAAATCCTCTATGTCCATCTTGAATCTGTTCTGACGGCCAGCACAGAGACAGCGAGAGAGGAGGGGATCTTGATGGTTTGTTACACCTTAGATGTGCGCTAGCAGCGAGGGCAGCAGGAAGTCGGAGTGAAAACCCTGCGCGTGCGGATTGGCAGACTCGGTGCAAGGGAGGAGGAGGAGAGCGAGAGCAAGAGGCAGAGAAGGGGGAGATTGAAGAGGAAGGAAGAGAAGTACGCTGGAGGGGGAGGGGGAGGGAGAGGGGGAGGGAGAGGGGGAGGGGGGGAGGAGGAGAAGGAGTAGGAGAGGGAGGGAGTTGGAGAGAGGGAGGAGAGGGCAGGAGAGGAAGTGGGCGATGTTCAGAGGGGGTAGAGGGTACAATCGGTTTCGTTTTAGGGGTGGGGGTGTTCATTGAACGGGTACCATAGAGCTTCAAATCACCTCCAATGCTGATGTACATATTCAGAATAAGGGTGGTAGGATTCCCGAGGAAGTACGGTAGGGTACTGAAAGGGGGTGGTACCCATGGTGGGTTTCCTGTGATGTGAACACGTCATGGTCAGAAAGAATCGAGCCGGGAAACGAGAACGATGTGGAGGAGAGCAGAGGGAGGGGAGGGGAGGAAGGAGAGGAGATGCGACAATGGGGCACAGATACTGGTCTGTTGTAGCATGAAGAGACAGGAGCGTACGAACACGGAGCATACTTGATCGTTCCAGAGGAGTTGAGATTTTTTCCAGGATGTCGGAGAACTGAATTGAGCGGTCTGTCCTCGTAGCCCTTCAAGATGCTGGCGTCTGTTGCGATAGCTGAGCTGGACAAGAACAACGACACCCTGCTAACATGGTACCGCCTCATTTCCCTTCCGTTGAACCCCTTGGGATCCCTCCCTCACGTATCCCTCATCCCTCATGGAAGTGCAGGAGCTACCCGTCCTTGGACGAGAAGATCGGCTCACGGTTGGTCAAGCTGTGTGACATGGAGCTGCATCGAGACGCCAAGGGTCGCCACTACCTCCACCATCTCCTCAGCATGCTGTGACAGTGCAGTGCAGATCTCCAGAAATCGCTCAGGGATGAGAAGGTCGGAGCAATGGGCAGCGTCATCTTCGCCCGCAGCCAGTGCGTCCCCCTGTGCCCGAAGCCTTCCTGATGGTGCGCGCGCAGAGGCCACTGGATGTACCTGCTGCCCTTCTCGGTAGGTGGTAGAAACTCCTCGTTGGACCAGGTACTGCCCCCACAAAGAGAGTTTGAAGGCGACGAAGGAGGAGAAGGGTGTGTTTGAGAAGCGATGGGGACTGAGGGAGGGATGATGAGAGGGGTAGAGAGGAGGGAAGAGCGAGGAGGAGGTTGTTACTGTTTGGCGAACACCAGACATGCAAACACTGGAGGAGTACAGTCGTTGCTCAGCTGCTGCTTGTTGGAGCGTACTGATTGAACCTGAAGGTTTCTTCGTTCGTGGTATCAGTTCAGAGCAGAGCATTCTTTCCCAACAAGTTCGAGGCACTCTTGAAGGTTGCAAGCAGCATGCATGCGGCTGGTAACGTGATGAGGATGTTTGCAGGAACTTGTCATGGTTTATGCCTCGGAAGGAACTCCTCTCAGAGTTCTTGAAGGCTACCTCTCTGCAATGACGGTCGGAAAGTGAGAAGATGACATTGTGGAGATAACGCCTTGTTCTTGTTCTTCTTTCCCTTCACTTCCTCCCCTTTCTGTCCTTTCCTTCATGCATGTCCTCCCCTTCCTTTCTTGCTGTGGTGCATCTTTGCTTTGCGAATTCTCAGGTTTATTGTCAGGTTCCAGAATTATGCTGAGAGTGCATTTCCTGACACGGACATGCAAACGTCGAACCTGCAAGTTCCGATCAGATGGATGATTGAGATGTTCGAAGTTGAGACTGTGCTGCTGTGGTCATGTATGCTATTGAAAAAAAGGTACAAACAATCATGACGAAGACTCATCTCTCATGGTTTTACGTGCGAAGGATGGTTGTTTACTCTAACAAGGTTCTTGAACTTCAACGATTCCTCCGTATCATCCCGGTCTTGTTGAGGGTTCCTCCTGTTCACTCGCACTGACGAGGTCAACAGGCCCTGGTCCCACATCGAGAGTCATGGAATGTGCTGAAACCTTATTGCGTTGGTATGACCTATCTTGCTGTCACAACAGTATCCTCATCAGGCCTCGTGCAGGGGACGAGGAGGACGAGGAAGAGCTCAAGACAGCAAGCTTCTTCGTTGCTGGGGCCCTTCAGCCGATGGAGTCCAACAAGGTGGGGAGGCATGAACGGGATGAAGATGTGTGTGTCGTCAGTCCTTACCGACAGGAACTTTGGGACATTTATGTTGACATCCCTTCACAATCTATCACGGTCAGTGACTGTGAAGGGTTAAAGCCTGCATGACAGAACATGAAGGTGGGAGATCATGCAAAGAGAGATTTTACAGCTACATCTGTGCACAAGGTATGTTCTCCGCCATTTCAGTTCATCTTGATTTTTCTGATGTTATTCCTTCCTGTCTTGATGTTTCTGTTTCTTTCTTTAATGTCTGAGCACGATTGCCAGGACATCGCAAGCTTCTTGTCCAAAGCGCTTGAGGAGAATGTAGAAGACCAAGCAATAATTTCAGGTTGCCAACCTCGTGCGGTTTGATCTCTGAAGTATGACGTGCAGGGCTGCAAGAGAAGAATCAAGAATTGATCGACAAGGTGTGATGTTGTTTTGTGTTCTTCATCCAACGAACATTCATACTTGATCAAACTAGCTGAAAATGTTGGCGGCGGACGAAGAGGACATGCTGCTAAGTTTGTCCTCCTTGCAAGAACAGGTAGAAGTAAGCAAGTTGCCTCTGAAGGACCCTTGACAACTTCTGCAGCTTCAAAACCCCAAGCTTGCATTCTTCCTTTACTCCGTCGCTCTTTCAGGTCAGTTGGACTGACCATTCAGAGGTGTTGTTTTGATGTCGAAATGCAGAGGGACTTGCTAGACCTGAGGCTTGAAATTCGCAACCAAGATGATTTGAATTGTTTTTATTTTGAGATAGTTAGAAAGATTGGAATAAGAGGAAAATGTTTTTCTCACACACTTGACTTCACTCCATGGAGACAGAGAAGGTAATTGGTTCAAATTGTGATACCAGGCCGAAAAAATGGGAATCGTTTGTTGAGACGAGAAAAAAAGAAACTGCCCGCCGTCAGTCATGAGCGAACCGAAACGCCAGTCATGTTCGTCGTCCACTGAGTTGGATGGAGAGATGAGGAAAGGAAGTCCAGGTATGTCCATGACAACCCATCATGCATCCCTGTATTGCCGCTAGCTTGCTCGCCGCTGCTCGCCGATCTGAAGGACGGGCAGTGATCATAGGACTGTTGGCAGAGGGGAAAGGCTTCCAGCACACACTCCGCCATGACTTCGCTAAACGAGAGATGCGGAGCGAAGTTTGACTGAGAAGTCGATGCCGATACCGATGGTGCCCTGCTTGGAGCAAATTCTTCGAAACAGGACGCATATGACGTCTGCGGCACAGCTATAGCACCATCCTTCACTGAGTCATGCAGGTCCTTTAACGTCTGTTGTGCGCCGATTCCTTTCTGCTCCTTTTCCTCGTCCTTGATCGTTTTCCGTCTTTTTAGAAGCTTCTTCGAATTGTTCTCCTCTTCCGATGAGCCAACTTCGATCTCTTCGGGAGTCCAGAATTGTCTGGTCACCTGGGCCCAAGTTCGTCGATTCCATATGTCTCTGACTGTTTTTGCGCTTATGCCGTAGCAGCAGCCCACCACTTCGCTTGCTAAAGATTTGTCTTTTCTTGCATCATGACGCTCATTGAAGATCTTTACAACAAGCTCTTCGGTTAAAATTCTCCTTCTGTTCTCTTCCCTTCGCTTGCGAGCAGTTTCTGCCTGAGGAAGCAGTCCTTTCATGACGAAATGTACAACCGTGTTAAGATTTTTACGATGGAATGCAATTGATCTCTGCTCTTTTTCGCCACTTGATTTCCTCCACACACCACCTCTTCTCTTCTCTTCTCTTCTCTTCTCTTCTCTTCTCTTTTCTCTGCTCTGCTGTCGCTCTTGGAGTTCCTCCTCCGTTATTTTACTTCTGGATGAACTCCAAGGTGGTATCGTGACGTCTTGACTGGTTTAGTTTCCAAACCTATTCTTTTCGCAAGCGCTGAAAGGGTTATGTCTGGAAAACGCAACGTTCAGCCAAGAGCTGATGACAGGACTTATGAAAAGTATACTTTTTGATGGTATATGTCCAAACATATCATCTCGGAGGGTCGCAAGCATACCCCTCCAGGAACATAAAAAGAGGGGTAGTGACAAGATCTTGACGTGCCAACGTCAGCCAGATGCAAAGACCCGAGATAGTCCCTGCCAATCGTCGCATTCTAACAGGCGTGTTCCTCTGAGGCCGTCACAAGTCACGGCCCCTCTCTATATTATTGAGCCTCCGGCGGACAGTCCGGCGCAGTGCTGATCTTTTAAACTTAACTTTGAGTAAAATGTCCGGCGGATCTTCTCGGCCGTCCGCCTGGGAAGCTGGCCGGGCGGCCGCCTCGGACAGCCTCGGCCCGGCCCGGGGGTCAGCCAAGGGTCAGGCCGGGCCCGGCCAGGCCGTTGGACCCCCGCGGGCCTCATAAAAGTCCGCCGGTGATCTTTACTGGTGCTATGGCTGCGCTGCTCTTCATGTGCCCGACCCTATCGTCTGCATTCCATGCCTCCCTTCCTCCCTCCCTCCACCTGCCCCATTCTAGGCTCCTCCTCCGCTCCTCTCGACACCTCTCACAAGGCCACCTGCGTAGGATGACTCGACCCTCGAAGTTCCCTGCAATGGCGGAGAAGACTGAGCAAGGTGGGATAGGGAGGAGGCAGCTGCTGCTCAGTGCCATGATCCCCTCAGTCGTGAGATGGAACAGCATGGGTGCTATGGCCTTTGAGGAGGAGAAGAAAGGAGCTGGTAGAGGGCTGAAGCTTCCCGTCATGGGCACAGGAGTTTGGGCTTGGGGGGACGAAGCGATCTGGAACTACGGTGCGCAGGGAGGAGCTTCAGTGCAATCCATAGAGGAAGCATTGGAGGTCGTTGTCAGCAGTGATCTTGGCTTCCTTGATACGGCTGAGGTCTATGGCAATGGAGAGAGCGAGCGCCTCGTCGGCTCCCTGCTCAAGAAGCTGCCGGAAGAGAAGCGGCGCAAAGTAAGGGTGGCCACGAAGTTTTACCCGGTTGTGCCCTCGACGAATCTTCCCCGGGGAGCTCAGGATCTGATCCCAGCACTTGATGCCTCCTTGGCTCGTCTTCAGCTACCCAACGTCGACCTGTACCAGATTCACGGCCCTGGTCTTCAGTCCTCAGTACCCCCCCGATGTTGAGTAGGATAACTCTCACTTACCCACTTGCAGGGGGAGGAGATTGGGGAAGCGCTGGCAGAGGCTGTGATCTCAGGGAGGTGCAAGGCTGTTGGAGTCTCAAACTTTGCGTTCGAAGAGCTTCTGCCTGTCTACCGGATCTTGGAGAAACGAGGGATTCCGCTGACGTCAAATCAGGTGTGACATGCGGAAAGACGAGGAGCTGTAGCCTTTGTCGGGAGATGGTTCATGGATTTGTTTCTTCCTTGTCTGCATTTTGAATCATCTGCTTTGAATGTTGACGTCTTGTCTTGGATGTTATATCATCGGCTGTCGTGACCTGCTAGACCAAAAAGGGGCTTGTCGACTGCACCTTTCTATGTAGATATGTGAAAAATTCGTTTTCTTTCTTTCTGCCAGGTTGAATTTTCTCTGCTCCGAAGGCTACCTGAAACAGGAGGATTGCTCGAAGAATGCAGGAAGCTTGGAATCTCTATACTTGTAAGTACTGACGCCAACCCCAACTCCTCCCGTCCCTTCCTCACCTCACAACTGCTGCTCGCATCAGAATCTTATGATTGAAACTCCTCCTTCTTCTCTGTGCACGCTGCAACCTAAGAAAGCCTTAGGCATACTCGCCTCTGGGGATGGGAAGGTTGACGGGAAAGTACGGCAAGGACAAGAAGGCCCCTCGCTCGAGGTTCTTCGGGAGGGTTTCAGATACCAAGGCAAGATGGCTGCTCTGGAGTTTCTGATGATGACAAGTCGTCCAGCTCGAAGCTCTGCTCGACCGCATGCGGGAAGTAGGAGCGGCGCATGGAGGGAAGACCCCAGGGCAGGTAGGAGAGCCCTGCTGCCTCCCCTACCACCCCGCCCCCCTCCTCCCTCCTCCTCCTCTACATCTCATCCTTCTTGTTCCAGGTCGCCCTCAATTGGGTCATGTGCAAGGTGACCTGCTCCTACTCTCTTCCTTCAATGCCCGGCGCTTCTGAAGCTTTATGACTGCAGGGCGCCATTCCCATCCCCGGATGCAAGAACGCCAGGCAAGCACAGGAGAACGCAGGGGCCCTTGGGTGAGGGAGAGGAGGAACGTGAGTAAGTTCACCATGACCTGCTCATGTGCAGCTGGCGACTGAGCGATGAGGAGGTCCACAGTCTTGATCTCCTTGGCCAGGAGGGATCAATTAACTCCTGGCAGCATGATGCAAAAGTTGCAGGTAGCTAGAATGTCATGACATCGTACTGGTGCCTACCTGCCGCCCCCCTGCCCCTTTTCCCCTTCCCCGCCGTACCCCTTGCCCGCCCGCCTGCCCGCCCGCCCGCCTCTTCCCCCTTACCTCATCCCCCAATGCACACCATCTCCATCATCCTATCTTCGTTTGATTCCTTGCTCTCTCTACTTCTGCCTCCTTTTTCTTTGGCTTTGCTTTGTAATCTCTATCCTTCTCTTAACACGCCCTCGTGCTTGTCCGCAGTCTGAGCATCTCCTCTTTCTGCCCGTGTTTTGCCCCAAGGAGATGACAAAGGTTTGAAACAGGAAGAATAGCGATTGGATAAACAAGTCATGACAGTTGTATGGCGCTGACATACAGACTGAATGTCAAGAAGGAGGACCGAGTGAGAGGGCTTGTCTCAAACTTCTTTGTCTTTTCGCAGAGTAATCTTCATGTACTTGTATGGTATAATGCACAGGCGCTAGTTCACAGCACGACACGAAGAAATATCACTGCAACCCCAACGATATTCCTAGGATGTTATCACAAGAACTGCCCAAAAGCTCTTACCCTCCCTATATTGACACTCAGCCGATCACTCAGGAGAGTTGCAAGTGTTTCCGCTGCTAGAGGTCGATTGCATGAAGTCTTCAATGCAGCTCATACTGGGCTGAACATACCACTCGCTCCTGTAGTCCGAGGACCCACTGCTCTGCCCGAACGAGCCCTCCGACATCTCAGACTCCTCGCTTTCCTCCCCCATACTCTCACTGTTGTTGTCAGCAGAAGCAAGGTTGTTGCTCCCTTCGCTGCCATGATCTTCTGGCTGTATGCTGTCGCTGCCCCCCGCCTGCGTCAGCGAAGCAGCGTATGAGGACATCGACATCGCTCTTTCTGACCCCCCCGAGGACGACGATGAACTGCCCTCCTGCTCAGTCGTCCTTTCTACAGGATTCTCTATCTCTGCTGATCGCTCCCTCTGCGTCTGCCCGGCATCGTCCTCACTCGATGCCTTTCCTGACGACGATGCGCTGGCAGACGTGTCGTCCCTTGCCTCCCTTGTCTCCAACGCATCTGTTACCTTGGCCCAGGACCTCTTGTCCCAGATGTCCCGCACCGTCTTGGCGCTGACGCCATAACACCTTGCGACAAGCTCACTCTCAACAGACTTGTTGCCTTGACAGAGAGCCTTCTCCTTGAAGATCTTCTTCGCCACTTCTGCGTTCAGCACCCTGTGCCGAGAGCCGTTGAGGTTTCTTGCGCGTGCATCCGTTGCCGCTCGATTGTTTTCAACAGCCAAGGCAAAGTGGAAGAGATCTGAGTGAAGCGGAAAGCTGCATGGAATGCTGTGATTTGAAGGGGTTTGCATGCTTCGGTTCGTTGGGTTCAGATACTGCTAGGTTCAGAAGTTGTTGAGAGCAAAGCTGATGTCGGCTACCTCTGCATGAGCGTCTGGTGCAGATTCAAAGGGCTGACGGTGAGAAGGAAGCTTCTGTGTATAGTAATGTCTCACAAGGACCAGGACGCTGCTGCCGCCTCTGCTTGCGCGCTGTGGGAAAGGGGCAACGGAGTTGGGCTGCGATGATGACAAGGGGTGGGTGTACAGGAACAACTACCCCATTTTTCCATGGCACAAGTTGGAAACAAGGGGGTACTCTGTACCCTCAAATATGGAAAAGAATATTTTTGGAAGGGATTTTCCTCCCAGAGGAACAATGGGGTAGGGGTACTGAAATACATGGTCTGAACCATGGTTTAGACCAGTCGATGGGATAGCAGACAAGGGGTCCATCATCAAATCTTCAGTGGGTGGGGCCCATAAAAAAATCTTTTTTTAACCCCAGCGAAAATAGCTGTTTTGAAAGGGTCCGCAGGGGGCTTATTATGGGCCTCAGACCTTAGGATTAGCTGTCCTTGTCGTTACGCGGCGGTTTTAACCTGAGTCTGATTTTGAGACGTTGTGATATAGGGAAAACGCAATCAAGTTTCCTTCTAAAATCAGTCAATAATTTGTACCATGACCTTAACTTTTAGATTTTTATTCTCTTTTTAGTTTATTTTTGGAAGTGTTGGATTAGTAGTGAAACTGAAATGCTTGCACAACGAGCGCTTGCAAGGTGTGCGAGATGTTAGCTTATGCTGTTGTAGGTGATGTTGCAAGCAAGTACAAGCAGGATGAAGAACAGCTTAATGCGCACGAGGTGTTGCATGGTCCAATTATATTACTCATGTTCTAATTACAATGAACACAGGAACAAAGTTAAGATGCAACAAACCATCACACGTACTACTCAGATCCGTCGTGATGGTGTCAGACTCGGTTCTTTCACGAATCCAGGATGAATAGGAAGCTTGCCTTGTTGTACTCCCGGAGAAGGCGATATCCATTTGTGTTGCTAAATCTTGTCAATCATGCGTCGAGGCGAAGCCAATGATTGATTGATTGATTGATTGCTATGATACAAGTTTACCTCATGAAAACCGTTCACCATAGGAGTCCTCACCATAAGTCTGAAGGTCTTGACATTCCTGAGCTGCCGAGGCATCAATCCTCTTGTCTCACAATGGGAAGCACGCGACATACAGGAGCCACGGGTTGATGCGCACTCGGAGCATCAGGTCCAAGGTGGTTTGACTCGCTTGAACGTCCCTCGCGCGGGGGGAAGGGAGAACCTTGAACTCGCAACGGTTGGTAAGCCAAAGGTTATGGTTGTCCAGGGGATTAGCTACTTATTGCTAATTGATTGTCCTCGTACTGATTTTTAACTTAACTTTGAGTAAAGAGACAGCCCCTTGGCGACCTTTAGCAGGGGATTAGCCCTCCGAGGCTCCGTTTGACTAAAACATTTGTACCAGGAGGCTAATCCTAAGTTCAAGTTCTTCCGGTGCCCACTGATATTAAAAGCCCCCTAGTAAACTTTCCAAGTTCCGGCGGCCGCCCGGCTCAGTTCCAGCCGCTGAGCCTGAGCGGGCCCGCGGCCTTTCTCTCGAGCCGGGAACTTTCACTTCCGAGACTCGGAACAGTGACGGTGACAAGCCTGAAACGCGGGCCGGGTAGGATCATGCCAATCTCCGAGCGCAGCCGAAGTTCAACGGTTGGCGGCCGGCGGGGCCCTCGATCAGGTGACTGACTCCAACTGGCATGCCACGCTCAGTCACCGTCAAGGTCCTCGAGTCGTGCTGATCATCGGATTTTTAACTTCAACTTCAGTAAACTTCGGAAGTTTGACAGCCTCCGAGGCTCCTCCCGGCGGCCCAGAGTTCTGAAGCCGGCGCGGCCCAGGATGGGCAGGCCGGCCGCGCGCGGTCAGATTGCAGCTACGCACACGGAGAGGCTGACTGCCCGGCGAACTTACTAAAGGCGGCTCAGTGTTGTCCACCAGGAGCCACGAAAGGCTTGCAGTCTGAATGCCGCGCTTCAACTAGAAATACAGAGAAGGCAGCCTGGCAGGCTTCTCAGGGATTTGCAGCAACCTGTTAGATGCAGTCACTGAAACAGATTGAACTTGCCATGAGCTAGGAGCTGACCTGCAGTTGACTTTAAAGATGCGTGCTCTTCATCTCCTCTACCCACCTCTTGACCACGCTGGTAAGGTGCGACAACCTGTCGTCTGCGCTGACCCGTAACTTTCTCATGAAGACGATGGACTCCCTCGCCATTCTATCTTCTAAGTCCTCACGCCCTTTAGCGTGCATGGCAGGCGGGAGAAATCTGTTCTTGTACTGCCGGAAGTCCTCCAAGGAAGCCAGGTCGAAGACGATGGTGTACCCGAACTGTCTGCCTTGCTGATCAAAGCTCTTGTGTAGATTGCACTTGAGATACAAGGTGCGCTTCTCGCCATATCTATCGCTCGTGGCTACTCTCATGTACCACACTGCCTCCTTGCTGAACGAAGCGAACAAGACTGACGTCCAGGCAACCAGGACCTCGTACTCGCTCATGGAGTGCACAATGTCATGGCAGAAGAAGCGAGAAAGGATCTCTGAGTGGTGATAGCCCAGCAAGTCCGCCACGTCATCGCCTATCCTCATCCTCCTGCAGTGTAAGTTGGAGTCGAACTCGACTGACAACCATCTACCATGTCCCCATCTTCTGTCGCTGGCAATCTGGTCGAAGCAATCCTCTGTCTCATCAAACTGCCACCGCGCAGCATCGTTCTGTTGCCAGAAGTTGCTCAATCTCCCCAGCTCTTGCTGCTGAGTGAGAATCTGCTTAAAGCCAGGGTTGCTTTTCAAGTTTGACACCATCACCTTGCGCACCAAATCGACGGCGTCGTCCATGGCCACTTTGAGGTCAAGTGGAAGAATCCTGAAGGCCTTGTAAAGCACCGACACATCGAACCCCAACTCCCATAGAGGACGTACAATCGTGATGTTTACTCCGCTCTGCACCGATGCGTCTTTCAAGGAGCGAAGCGACGCGTCCTGTTCCTGGAGGTCCTGGAAAAATGCTTCTCTCAGGCTGTGGATTGTTGTTGATAGCGAGACATTTCTTGATTCCGACAAGCACTTGTCGCTCGTTCCTGCAACCACGCACATCGCGCACGGCCTAACATCGCTACACTTCCTCTTCTTCAGCTTGCACTCTGAGCAGGAGTTGGAGATGTACTTGGAGCGCTTCTTGCGAACAGCCGGTGCATTCATCACCACGCCGGCGTTGACATGCTGCGGTTCGACGTACATAGCACCCGAGGGAGAAGAGCCCGCGGAAACATCCGGCGAGACGATTTCAAAGGTCCTGGCGAGGTTCTGTGCAGCTTCATGGTTGAAGTTTGACAGCCTTTCTGCCATTAGACGGCACCACTCGTCGTCATCTGCAGCCATGAGCCTCAGACTCACGAAACATGGGTCGCATGTGCTTACCCACGAAATGCCTCTTCTCGCCGGCGTTGGCTGACATGCTGGGTCCTGATCAACCCTCGCCTACCAACCGTGAAGGAGATCCTCTAACAGCCAAGGGACGATAAACGACTAACTGTGCAGGTATTAATGCGGCAAGCACGAGCAGAAATAGGCGGAGCAAGGAAATTGTGATGCGCTCGCTGCAAACAACAAATTTCTGAAAGCTCAGGGAATGATGAGGAAGTTGGAGAGATATGAGGTTGGGAGAAAGGCAAACGAGAAGAAGGAGAAGCAAAGATGAAGGTATCAATAGTATTTCAGATATAGCTTGAGTGACGAAAAGTCACGGAAAGAAGCAAAAACCGCTCACTCATCGCTAGGCGAAGGAAAACAGACAAGGAAGAGGCAAGGGCAAAGGGAAGATGGTCTGAGAAGAGATAAAGACGGAGGGGAGAGAGTTGAGCAAGAAGAAGACGACTAGAAGATAGGGGAGCACAGCAGTGGTCAGGTGAAACCACCGACGAACCATGGAGGAGTACGATAGGAATAGGTGAACAATGAAGGAGAGGATATGCAAGGAGAGGAAGAAAGAGCATGGAGAGAGGAAGAAAGCGTCAAGTGGAGGGGATGTGGCTAGCATTGAAGACAAGTGTGGGTCGCATTGTTCCTTCCACTCCCATCCCTCTCTCCCCCATTTCGTTCCTCAGTTTTACCACTTTACTCAAAGTTAAGTTAAAAATCAGTACGAGGACAATTGTTACCACTATCGATTTTAAAACCGATGTCTCAGGTGTTGTTCGAGAAGGGATATCCACGATAATTGCTGCCCTTAATAATACTCGTTAAATCAGATGAGGGGGGCTCGACTTGTATAGGAGACGAATAAAAGTTTTAAATTACAAAAAAGATCCACTTTCTTCCTCGGCCCGGCCGGGGCCCGGCCGGGCCAATTGAGGCACCCCAACACCGTTTTACTCAAAGTTAAGTTAAAAATCAGTACGAGGACTCCTGCATGCCCTCATGCGGCGCTGGGAGTAGGAGAGGGAGCAGCGCTCCTGTTGCTCTTTGTTGTCGGTCGACCCTTGCTTCCTCCTCGTCCGACTTCCTCCTATATCTCCTCCTCTCCCTCCTCTCCCTCCTCTTCCTTCTTCCCGAGGTCGAGTCGTTCGACGACTTCACCCGCTTCCCCACGTCCAATTTTTTCAAAGGGCGAAGCACAACTTTGCTGCAGTCCTTCACCAAGACAAGACGACGCGAACCTCCTTCTCCGTGAGTGTATACTGCTTCTTCCGTCTGTCCCTCGATTCTTAATCGCTCTTTGGACAATGCGTAACGAGTGTCTTAGGGTACCTGTCTCTGCCGATATGTCTACGCTGGAGAAAGATCTCTTTGGCGACCGGAAGATCAGGATCAAGAGAATGTCGGAAATTTCTGACAAGTATGATGCCTTCATTCTTGATCAGTATGGCGTAATGCACAACGGAGCCATACCGCTTCCAGGAGCCCTGGAATGCTTTGAATCTCTGTAAGCAGCACTTGATGATTGGAAGAAGACGATAGATGATTCTTGCCGAACAGGAAGAAGGCGGGAAAGAGAATTGCCATATTGTCAAATACAAGCCGAAGGTCCAAAGACGCTCTGAAGAAGTTGCGAGGTGAGATCTGAGCGCAGACAGGATTTATGACTCAGAGGCCTGCAGCATTGGGGTTTCAGCTTGATAGCGAGGAGTCAGTCATCACAAGGTTCGGCTTCCTTGTAAGACATCTTTTCTGCATCGATGACATTAAGAGACAGCGGCGAAGAATGTTGGAAGCACATGAACGAGGTCTCCCTGCCCTTGCACAGCCGAGAACCTGACGTGTTGGGAAGAGGATGAATGGCAAGTCCTGTGTGTACTTGACATGGAAACGAGAAGTGAAGCCGGCGCTGCTTCAAAGCTTCTTGTCACCTTGTGGAGCAGGTTGAGGATGATGATAAATTTCTCGACGGGCTGAACATTTCAACGAGTGATGTTTCAACCGCCGATTTCATCTTGTGATTCATGGCTTGCTGTCGTGACGCTGTTGATCTGATCTGTTCGACAGATGCCACGGAAGTGAGATCATTGTGGAGAATTCTTCATCATCCCCTGTAGAGACAGGATTCATCGAGCACGGAAACGTCCTCCTTGCTTATCAGAAGGTCACACGAAACTTTCACACCTCACCAACCCTTTGCAACAAGTGGAGACCGACTGAGCAACATCAATTTATCGCAGGTCTTAGCAGTAGCACTCAACCGTGGATTGGAAATGTTGGTTGCAAACGCTGATTACAGGCATGCTAATAATTCTTCCAACCAGACAAGTGCTACTATGTTGCGCTCACCCTTGCTGCTACATCTTTGTCTATTTTTCCCTGTTATTGCCTCGTCCCTTCTTTAGAACTTACCTTGTACCTCCTCCCTGTCCCTTGTACCTCCTCCCTGTCCCAACCTCTGCATCCCCACTGAACTCTTCCTTACGTGCTTGCTTGTCTTCTCCATGCCCCTCTTCCATTCGCTCTGCCCCATTCTCTGTCTCTCCGCGCCCATCCTCTTTTCTTGCACTTGAGCTCCCTGTTTTGCCCTCACACCTTCGACTTCCAGTGCCGTCCTTCCCGATGGTTCGTTGGGGCATATGCCAGGTTTGATCGGGCAGCAGTACCAGCTCATGGGGGGAAAGGTGATAACTCTTTCTTTCCTTTCCTCTCCTTCTCCTTCCATCCCCTCCTCCTTCCCTGACCCTTTTCTCTTCTCCCTACCTTTCCTCCCTGTCTCTTCTGTCTTCTTCTTCTAACCCGAGTGAAGGTGAAATGGTTTGGTAAACCTCACTCTGAGCATTTCCAAGCATGCTTGAAAACTTTCGGCGAGGACATCAAGTACACTCGGGTGGTAGGATGGAGCAGCCCAGCATGCCTCCTGCTGCTGATGAAAGTCTCAGGTGCACGTCGGGGACTCTCTTGACCACGACATCCAAGGAGCAGCAGATGCAAACCTTGACTCCGTCTTCATCCTGGGAGGAGTGCATGTGATGGGCTACCCTTGCTGCCGCTCTCCGCCGCTCATAGTGTGTCAGGCTCAAGAGGTCGGCTTGACGACCGGTAAGGATGGCTTGACCACGGGGGAACAGGATGAGGAGAAGGTGGGATCGAGATCAGGTCACTTGTGCAGAGTGATGTACTCACAGTCATGATAGATCAACAAGCTCCTTGCTGATGAAGGATGCCACCCCAAGTGGATTCTGGAGAAATTCGTTTGGTAATGAAGATCAGATGGTATTGATCCTGGTTCCGAAGTTCAGTACTCTTAAAGTTGATTTGCACGGTTTGTCAGAACTTGGCGTATCTAGTCCATTTGCACGTACCGTACTGTACTAGTACCGTAGCGGCGGCGCCGTAGCGGCGGCGGCGCCGACACTCGCCTTCCGGACTCCGGGGCCGAATCATCGGTCTACTAGGCTAGTACCCGGGCGGCCCGACGGTCTCAGTTGGGACTCACAGAGTCAAGCGTCTCAGTAGTGAGCCTGAAGTTTTTAGTACCGTAGTACGGGCCCGGCTTCCGACTCGCCGGGACTCGGGAGCCCGGAGTCCGAGGCCGGACGGTCCGGAGGCGGTCATCCGATCGGATCCGAGTCGGAGTATCCGATCGGGATGCGCTTGCATGATGCGGGGGTAGGTACTTAAGATTTGGTTGAGTTAAAAAGCATGATGGGTACTATGCACATCCAGGATCCTTATTTGAACTTAGTGCAACACATATATGATAGAGGAATCTGGGCTGATAATCCATGGATGAAAAGAAATTCGGGGGTAGGGGTAGGTAATAATAGGGTGGGGGGTCAGTGTTGAAAATAGAAGAACGGGTTGTAGTCGGAAATGCCAGAAGGAAAGAACAAACCAGATGGCAAAGGATGGCAGCGGGGGCGTTGAGATACGCGATCTTGAAAGGAGAAGAATGTAGATGAGCATCTTCGAAGAAAATTTCCTTGCATCTTGAAGTGTTATTCCTCGAAGCTCTCCATCCATCGACATCGGCGTTGACATTCAGGACTGCCGCAATTGTTGTGCTGCTGTAGTCTCATACAACATTGACAACTTTCGTTGGGTAGCATGGCCGACAAGGGTATGAATGATCATCATGGTTCTGAGGAAACTGAAACATGTATCCCGAATCATCAGCAGAACATGGAAAACCAGATTCGCCCATTGATATCTGCACATGGATGGGATTTTGTACCCCAAAGAAGGGCCAGTCGGTGAATTATCCTCTTGTATGTGGGGAAGTAAACATTGTGACTGGCGTTCGTAGGATTTGAATGGCAAGTTCAACTCAAGGCAAGCCGGAATAGGAGTGATTCTGGGCCTGAACGCAAACAACTCCCTCTTCATTCATACGGTCGAAAAAAATCCTGGCTAACTCTATCCAAAGTTTGTGACGGATGTGTTGACAGGTCTGCCCAAAGGGCAGCTCCGACGGATATCTGAGGAAAGGAGACATCTTGATTGCCATAGGTTGTGATGTGCCTGCGAAGAGGATCTGTGTGAAAGATGCTGCAGAGAATGAAGATGTGTCAAGCAAGTCTGCTTCGAGTGTTGCGAATCTTCTACTCGGCCCCGAGGGTAGCCAAATTGACATCACAGTCATGAGAGGCAGCGATGGTTCTGTACATGATCAAGAATTCCTTTCCTTCTGCCTCACAAGGAAGAAAACCGACGCCGCTACTGCGAGGTATACGATAGCTTCGAGCATTCTTCTTGTCATGTTACGACGTGCAGGCATGCGATACGCAAAGCTGTCAATGAAAGAAACCTTGCCTACAAATCATAATCTAGTTCTTAATTTAGATGTGAATGGTTTCATCAAGAGGCAAGTGTTGTTCAAGTGGAGGAAACCTGTTCCGCGGACTTCAAATCATGTCCAGGACAAGTGAAGTCCTGAATATTTCATGGTTGTTTGAATGTTTCAGAAAATACTTGAACACACAGGACAACCAAGGCCTTCAAAACTGTTTTAATACTACAAGCTCAGAAATAATGACACAACGTCCTAACGTGTTCGTGTTGAATTGTACAAATCATTCTCTTGCTAATAAACATAAATCTATGCAGGCCTTGTTTCGAACTAACCTTGAGCTTGCATCTCGAAAGTTTGACCGCATGTGAAGATCTTTCATGCTGGCTTTCAAATCACCGATATGCATATCACGGCTGCTCAGTTTGCCAAGAGCTTGTTCGATCTCTGCATGTTCCACCTCCGACTGCCAACGTGTGACAGCCAGTGAACAGGTATATCTTAGGAACTCATCCCCAATAAAGTGCCTTTCCACTCCCCGCGCATCGCATTCTGCATTTGAGCAGGCCTTTTCTCCCTGACAGCAACATTGTTGGGGAGATTCCGATCGTTTTCCGTTTCTCATGATCCCGCAGTCACGACCAAGGGGGTCGTTGTAGATCTTCATATTCGGCATCGGGCAGCAGCGCAAGTATGTGATCGACTGACCTACGGCCTTGCTAGGGTTTGAACCTCTGCAATTAGACGCTCCACCAGAGGAAAAGTCTTGACTGTACTTCTGAATAGTTTGCATGCCTTCTGAGCTCAGACCGCACCAAACGTGTTCGACGGGCTTTCACAACAGCACACCATCTAACAGCTTCAATCAGTGTCTAGATCCAGTCAAGTGTTTCCAGGTTCCAGACTCTTGAAAAGCCAACAAACCGCTGCAAGCGATTTACGACCCTCAAAGAAAAATTGGTTGCAGGAAAAATTTGTTCGCAACCAAAGGTTTGACTTCGAGATCCCCCCCAGCAAATACAACAGCCTCCTTTAAGACTGAAAGCAGTCGGCTCAAACAAAATTCAAGACAGTCAGCAGAAAAAGTCGCTCAGGAGGACTTGCCGCTTTCTGACTTCTCACTTGCAGCCACCACAAGCGAAAGGCAGCTCACGTACACCCCGATCCACAGGACTCAGCAAACCTCTTAGCTTACGACGGAGGAACAGATCAAGAGAGATGGTGAGGGGGAGGAGGAGAGAGGAGGATGCAGGGGCGATCACTACAAATCGAGGCTGCGGCTACACCATGCACTCCTGGCCTCATCTGAAGCACCTCCCCTCTTCTTTGTACCACCCCCACCCACCCCAAGCAAACCAGCTACTCTACAACCACCCTACTCGAAATCGACCTCTTGGGAGCATGTTAACTCCGTTTTCAGCAGGGTACCCAGTAGCTGCTTATTTCATATCATGTCAATTGAAATATGCATTCAAGACAGGTCAGGATTGTAGCTCCTCTGCAGGGGCCTCCACTCACCCCAGTACTGAATAGCACCCCCCCACCCCCACCGTTTAGCCCTATTAAGCAGATCACCCCCACCCCTCTGGTAGCCTCCATGGGCAGACGAATCCACCGGTGACCGTCTTAAAATTGTAAAACCAAACTTGTTGCGGAGTTCTTTCAAATACGTACCTGTTCTGAAACATACCTATCCACCACCCCCTACAAGACATCCCGTTGTGTACCCCCACCCCTTGTTTTCCATCCAACATCATACGCAAAACTGTGCCACTCATTTTCTAACCAGGTACCACTACCCCCTTAGTAAAACATGTTATTAGACACCTGTTCGCCCTTCTGTGGTCACGAGGGGCTCCATTCTGTCTTAAAGGAGCAGAAGACCACTACCCCCTCTAAACGCTAAAATCTTTCTACATACCCGGTGCTCTCTACAGATTTCTCTGGGAAACATTACCGGTTCTTTTTGCAAAGGAACCAAGGGTGCATTTCCTGGGGAGATTGGAGGAGATTCCAGAAGATAACGGCTTCCCGCCGGCCTCCATTTGCTATAAGTGTATTTTAGCAATAACAACAAAATTAAACTAGTACGCAAGTAGTTTTAAAAGTCGGGGTCGCGGTATCCTGTGACCACTCCGGCAATATGACGGACATATTGGTTTCACACCATTTTGAACGCCCGGCCGCTAGGAGACACTCAAAGACCTCGGATCATGTAGTAAGTCTGTGATGAAAAGGAATTATTTCGAACTCCTATATGTCCAAAAGGTGTGTTTTAATGATCACGACCTTGTGTTGTATCGAACTGGTCACGTGGCCCGTAATAAATTTCCCCTTGTTCATAACCAGCGTAACGGTGTAACGGCGGTTTCCATCGCAATGACTGCCACAACTGTAACCGTCCATGGTTGTTGTAACGATACGTACAACGTCCCAGCTTCTGGTCCCGCAGCTAACGACTCTCCCTCCCTCCCTCCCTGCCTAGTAACGCCTCCCTCCCTCCCTCCCTCCCTGCGTACTTCACTCCGTCCCTGCGTACTTCCCTCCGTCGTCCCTCCCTCCCTTCCTCCTCCCTTTCATGTGCTTGCAGTATAGTTGTACATCATTGGGGTAAAGTGGGAAGATCGGGATGCAGATGGCTATCCATACCTGCTAGGGCAAGAAATTTCTCCTTCCTACCAGGGCTGATATACAAAACTCATGAGAATGCCCGAAGATGAAATCCTTTGATTGAATTCCTTTGACTCCGTCGGGAATTCGGAGGAAAGTCCGTGCTTGACGTCCTCTCTTTGAGGAACGTAGGAATGGCGATGCCCAGCGCATGCAGCGGGTGTGGTATCATCTTGAACAGACTCGCGACAGACGAATCGCACTGCAGTATGCACGACATGTACGCCCTCAATGGTTTCTTCACCTGTTGTGTGTGTGCGAGGAATGGCGGTTGGCAATTCTTTGAGAGCAGTGCCTGCGCCTCCTGCAAGTCAAGAGCTGAACATATTCATCTGCAGAAGGAGCACAGCGTTGCCGCGCCTGCTAATCCTGTCAAGGAGTATCCTTCACTCTCCAAGCTGAGGGAGAACTCCTTGACGCCCCTTGCGCGTCAGGAACGATTCGAGCACATGCAGGCTAGGGTCCGCCAGAAGGTGATGGAGAAGCTGAACCCCAGGAAAGACACGGAAGTCATAAGCACCAGGAGGACTTCCAGTATGGGCTCAAACATGAGCTCGACGTCGTCGAGGAGAAGGGCTCGACGACTGAAAGCCCTCACACCAGATAAACGAGGGGAGCAGAGTGACTCTAGCGCTTGAGATCCCGGAGACGAATTAGCTGTAGCAAATGCGTTGCCAGCTGAGTGTGTTTTCCTCAAGTTGTACTTCTACACTGAGTAATCTCGAGTTGTACTTGTTGATGTACACTGAGTGATCTCAAGTTGCACTTCTTGTCTTGTACACTGAGCCGACTGAAGTCTCGAAATCTAGTGGAATATTTTACTCTATTGGAATATTTTACTCACAATCACTTGAGTAATAATGTACGTGTCAGCCTCACGCGATGAGGGGCTGGGGAGGGCGAGGTGACATGGGGCGGTGAGGAGGAGGCGGAGCGAGAGAGGAGGAGGAGGAGGAGAGAGGTGAAAACTATGAGGAGAGCCGAGATCTGCAACGACGTCCACCTGCTGTCAGGCAAGCAAGGCCATCAGTAGACTTGTTCTCTTCCTGAGCATCAGGAGATTGGTTCCTTCCATCCATCATGTCGGTTCAGCAGATGTCTCGCAGAGATGCTGCAGACATTCTTGGAATCCGTGAAGACGCTTCTGTGAGAGCGATCAAGATGGCATACCGCAAACTGGCGATCAAATGGCACCCGGACAAGAACCCGGGGGACGAGGACGCGACCGCGATGTTCCAGATGATCGGCAACGCGTACGAGACCCTCTGCAGGGAGCGGCAGATCGTGTGTGAGTTCTTCTCCTCGGAGGACTTCCTGTACGCGGCAGACGAGGGAGACTTGGAGGAGGTGCAGGCGCTGCTCGAGGCAGACGTGGACATCTTCACTACCAACAAGTGGGCGTTCACGGCGCTCCACAAGGCGGCCCAGAGGGGGCACTGGAGGATCTGTGAGGTCCTGTGCTCCCATCCTGCTGGGCCGAACCTGGTGAAGAAGCAGATCAGGCTAGGGGGGAGCACAGCCCTGCATCTGGCAGCGGAGAAGGGGCACTTCAGGGTGATCGAAGTGCTCCTGCGCTGCTGCTCCTCTCCTGATTTCATCAACACCAAGGACAGGAACACCGGCATGTCGGCCATGCAGATCGCGCAAGATCGGTTGGCAAAGAGCATCAAGTATGGAGGGAACGTGGGGTCAGACCAGATGGTCGTCGACCTGCTGCAGAGATATGGAGCTGAGTGAAGCTGACGAGGTGGAGGAAAGGAGGAAATGGGCAGGGGGAGGAGGCGGAGGAAGAGCTCTTGTTTCCAGCTACGCTTTCATGTCCTTAATGACAGGATGTGGTTGGCTAGATCTGGTTTGCGCCATTCTCGCGCAAAGTCGGCGACCTGGAGGAGGGTGAGATGGAGCCCGAGGAGGTGGAGGAGGCACCTGGCTGAGGAAGTGTCGCACGATGTTGGGCTCTCCTCGCAGACGCTCCAGGCGCTTCAGCAGGATCTTGGTCTGTTTGCACGCGCAGTCAGGACAGGGAGGAAGAGGAACGTCGTCAGACCTGCTGGGCCTTGCCCCGCACAAGCTTGAGCATCGCGAGCTTGAGGCTTACCCTGCTGAATATCAACGGATTGAAAGTATGGTGTTGTTGATGACGGTGAACAAAAGAAGAGAAGGAGGTGGAGGAGGGAGGAAGGGAGAGAGGAAGACATCGGGGACGAGGGAGCAGGGCCCCACGCTGAGATTGGAGGGCTGAGGAGTGAAGAGAGATAGTGAATACGCGAAGGAAAGAAACTCGCCTGTTCTCCTTGCTCAGAAAGTCGGACTCGTCGACTGAAGAAGAAGTTCGTAGAGAGTTGGACTGAACAATCTGTGAGCCACAAAAGGAAGGAACATGGAAAGAGGGAAAGGGGAGGAAGGGGAAGGGAAGGGAGAGAGGAGGAAGGGGAAGGGAAGGGAGAGGGGAGGAAGGGGAAGGGAAGGGAGAGGGGGGAAAGGAGGAGAAGTCACCATCTTGACATCTGTGGAATCAGATGAAGCATTTGTTGGCTTTGCTCCAGGGCGTGCGATGGCTCTGCGATGTTACTTAGCTGGTGAGGGCAGGGAAGGGGAGAGGAGAGTAGCAGAGAGGAGGAGCTGGGAGCAAGTGAGGGAAGGAGGAGGGAAGGAGGAGGCAGAGAGAAGCTGCAGCGACACCTTGCCGTCGCTGTCTTATCAGGAGCAGGGCTGCAGTCTCTGGTCAGGCGGAGCAAGGAGACAGCCACGTCGCTGCTGACCTCGTCTCCCTCGAGGAGGC